TCAGTTGTGGGGACATCAAAACAAAAATTTAAAATCAGTCAGCCAGCCTGTATAGACTGCCATCTTATCAAGGTCAGCATTGTTTGCTATTCAGTCAAATGATGAATGGTTTTGTCCAGACTGATAGACAGACAATTCAAATTAAGATATTTTCTGTCGTAAGAATTAACAGCCAAAACAACAAAAGATGTGAAGGATTAATAGTCATGCAACAAAAGATATGAAATATATTTATAAAGCTATACCTGTATATCTAGTTGACACATGGTTCCCGGATCACCACTAGACAAGTCTAGCATGCTGTATTTCATGTCCTTAAACAGCTGGTAACCAACTGAAAATTATATTTGTAATACCATCATGTAGTTTTGAAGTCAAATATTTATATCTGCGTAGAATAATAATTTATCTTATCCAAATTCATTGCAATGACCTTTGTTATTTGGGACAGTCTGCTTCTCTGCTTTAGTAACACAACAGAAATATGGTTATAAATACTTTAAAAATCAATTATTAATCATAAACACATAAATAATTAGTTAAATCTTGAATCTTTTTACTTTAGTACATTTTTCTGGACTTTTATTTTATTGAAATATTTTGGCTCATCTGGAGGCATGCAGCTTTAAATGACTGGTTGGAATTCTAACCCATAATTGATCCAAAGTCAGTCAGAGACCTATTGACATTCAATTATGAGGTCACCTAAATAAATGTTGGGTTTTACAAAATTTTTAAAGGAACTCCATTCAGGTCAAAAGCCTTAAAAACATGAACTTTGATAATTCTTACATTGATAAGAAGTGGAAATTTTCAGATTTAAAAAATTTCAAATGATTATGATAATTTTGCACACAATGTTATTTTGGGTTCTATGATCTGAAATCAAATGGGATAATTCACAAAGTTTCGTTAAAATATTTCCCAAATGTCATCTTGTTAAAATAAATTCTCAATGGGTAAACAATTTTTAACTTACACAACTGCTCATAGTCCTGTTGTACATCGTCTTTAACAGAGTAATACTGTAATGCTAACCACACTATGTGATTCAAGTCATCACTATGTAGTCTATATCCCACTGTAATAAAAACAAAATGTTCCATTTAAAATACAATAATGTTTAATTTCTTATTCCGTGAATATTTGTAGTTTGGAAGCTTGAATGTAAATTTTGCATTAATTTACTGAGAGTAATTAAACATTTTCAAATTATTTCAGTTTATACAAATTTATTTTAGTTTGATTGTGTTGGAAACTATAAGCTTATTATAACACTCCCAAATCCGTTCCTGGAACTAACCAGTACTAAGCAATGAGCAAAAAGTTTCTTGCTCAAGGAAACAACAGCTTCAAATACTGAAAATAAACTTCATTTTCTTAGTTTTCTCAGACATTTATAATTGTAAATTTGGTTAAATAATGTGTGATTAAGTTTAAATCTCTTATGTTCCTACCCGTTTTAAAACGATAGTTATGGGATATTAAGGTAGGAGAAAAGCATCCTACATAAATTTTTAATCCTACAATACACCCTTATGTCATGAAACATTGACAAGTAAGTCAAAGTATTAAAAAGATAACCGGTGGCATAGTGGTAAATGTGTCTCCCTCTCAACCTAGGGATCATGAGTTCAAGCCCTACACAGGTCACATGTTTCTTCATATGACACCAGTACAGGTTAGTTCGAAGAAGCTGACTCAAAAGTGATTAATATAAGTTACAAGAACTTGTTTCGCAATTGAGCTAAAATAAATGAGCCACGTCATGACAAAACAAACATAGTGCATTTGCAACCAGCATGGATCCAGACCAGCCTTCGCATCCGCTCAATCTGATCAGGATCCATGCTGTTCGCTATCAGTTTCCCTACTTGTTTGTAAGCGAACAGCATGGATCCTGATCAGATTGCGCGGATATGCAGGCTGGTCTGGATCCATGCTGGTTGCAAACGCACTATGTTTGTTTTGTCATGACGCGGCTCACATGTTTATACCTCCATCATACTGCAGCAATATGTTTCTACTGGGTGTATCCAGCTGTGTTTTAGTGAACAAGTCACTCTGGAGAAAGTACGAGTCTTCTGTCTTTTTTGTCCGATCTGCTCCGGTAAACACCAGTCCATACAAGCTGGTTTTACCTTGAGGTGTACATAACTGTCGTAACTTCTTTGAAAACTGACTGCCATCTTGTTTTCTATGAAAAGCGTATATCATATGACCTGTGAAAAAACACAGAAGTATTTGAACAAAAGTGCATAATACTTATCATTGCAGTTTAACTGAAAACTACAACTGACACATTTTGAACATTATTTTTATAATCAAATCTCTCTAACCTCTAACCGACAAATCCAAACTGAAAGCCTATATCGGTACACAAATTCAGAAAGAGAACGTTAAAGATTAATTATAACACTTACCTCCTTGACTCAGTCTGTCACAGCCCTCCATATAGATCCTGTCGTAAAATTTCTTCCAGTCTTGTTTGGCTTGACAGTACCAACTTGACTTAAGGTCTATAGCTGGTAAGGAATTACTGATCATGAAACAGATGACAGCCAAAGAATTACAATCTTTCCATGGTACCTGGCCCTGTAATGTTTTTTATAGAAGTTGTATAATGAAGAGCTGAAAGTCTGAAAGTGTGCCCAGCTATTGTCTGAGCTTGATGGTTAAAAAAGGGGTATGGATTATATAGAAAAAATTCAAAGTTCACAAGTACCATCTTCAATAACCTATACTAACCTACAATTATGATCCCAAAAGTATGTGAAGTTTTCTGAATACTTACAATGGTTAAATGGTATATGAAGTTTCACATAAAACTTTAACTTTTATGCTAGTGTTTGTTTGTTTATCTTGTTTTTAAGCCAATTTGAACACCTTTTGTCTAATCTCCACGTCCAGTCCAACGAAGCAGCTTTCTCAGATAACTAACCAGTAATCACTAATATGTCTGGACAGGCGAGTAGGATAACTACCTGTTTTTGTAATAGTCAAGCCTAAATTTTCTATCCAAATCTGCGTACTAAAATTACTTTATTTGGAGAGTATGTGGGATTGAAGTGACATCAAAGCTTCATATAACAATTTCCTAGTTTTACTGGCAAATACATACCTCTTAATTTGAAAAAAAGTTTTGATTATTTCAATCACAGTAAAATTTAATAATTTTGTTACCTTCAAAGCCCTTTTCAATAGTAACAATCCCATGAGATAGAATAACTGTCCTTTCATCTCAGTGAGATAGCCGTCCCATTCCGAGCTGTGACGTCGTAAGGAAGACGCTTTCTGAAGATCCTCATCTAAACTGTTAACATACAAGAAGAACTATTTTGATGTCACAAAGTTTACTAGGTCCATGAAATATCTTGGGCCGTCATTCATGGAAAATTAAGTATCGATATACCAAAAGCTGAATATAATCAATAATTGAGCCGTGTCACGGCAAAACCAACATAGTGCGTTTGCAACCAGCATGGATCCAGACCAGCCTGCGCATCTACACAGTCTGATCAGGATCCATTCTGTTCGCTTACCAACTGTATTACAAGTAGAGAAACTGATAGCGAACAGCATGGATCCTGATCAAACTGCGCGGATGCGTAGGTTGGTCTGGATCCATGCTGGTCGCAAACGCACTTAGTTGGTTTTGTCCTGACGTGGCTCATATATCAAATCGAAGTAGATAGTACAGTGGAAACCACTTGAAAATGTTTATTACTCTGCAGTTATTTTTCTGATAACTCTCTTAAGACTTTGCATTGTACATTGTGTGAATTAAAAAATTTCAAACTGTTATCATTAATAGCAGTATAAGCTATTATTTATTAGATCATAAATCCCTATTTATGCTTGCAATCATAGAGTTGAAAATAAATCAGTGCACAGCAACCAATGTGAAAATCTCTTCATTTTTATACTAGGAAGTTAAGAAATTAATGGTAATTTCAGCCAATCTCACACGATGACTTTCTGATTTTTTTCCTTGTCCACATTCAATCAAACAAGACCTGTTGGTGGGACAGCACGCTCAGTGCTTGATAGTAAAAGAACCTTGATAATGTAAAATTTTCTAAGTTTACAAAAGGGCCAAATTTTTCTTTAAATCCATGTTACAGTTATAGGCCTTGGAGAGAGTCCTATAATGCTCTCAAAGAAGTATAAAAAAAATTTCAACTTATTTCAAAGCCAGATGTCAATGGAATATGAAAATATCTGAGGTGGTATGTACACTTTAATGTAAATTCTAAGTCAAAAAAAGGGGGAATTATTCAATCAAAATGCTTGATAGGGTTTCCTCCTCTTGTCTACAAATTGGAGGCATGATGGTGAACAAGTGTGCAAAATTTCAAAGCCATATGTCAATGGACTTTGTAAATATTTGAGGTGTTACAAAAACTTTAATGTAAATTCTGAGTTGAAAAAGGGGCATAATTCTGTCAAAATACTTGATAAAGTTACCTCCCCCTGTCTACAGGCTGGGGTCATGATGGTGAACAAGTGTGCAAAGTTTCAAAGCCATATGTCAATGGACTTGGAAAATATTTGAGGTGTTACAAAAACTTTAATGTAAATTCTGAGTTGAAAAAGGGGTATAATTCTGTCAAAATACTTGATAAAGTTACCTCCCCCTGTCTACAGGCTGGGGTCATATGGTGAACAAGTGTGCAAAGTTTCAAAGCCATATGTCAATGGACTTTGAAAATATTTGAGGTGTTACAAAAACTTTAATGTAAGTGGTTACGCTGAGGCTCGGGTGACTACAATGATTCTACTTATTCTTATTGAATAGTCAAGCTAAAATCAGACATCTGTGAGAAATAAATAGGGACCATCTTACCAGAGTAATGCTTTGACAGCTGAAGTTACGTCTCTGTTCTCAGATTTCAGCCTCAGGAATGTTAGCGATGCCATGGCAACCAGTTTATGTACATACAATTTACCTTCGTCTCCCCCTCCCTGTTGGTCTTGATACACCTACGAAAATAGTACAAACAGATTCAAATCTACAAATATTTTGACTCACTACAGAGGACAAGCCTCTTATATAATTTTCAACCCATTCCCTTAAGTAGTTTTGGAGATACCAACTTGCATACAAAAACTTAACCAAAGTGTGATGCTGATGTCTGGATCGGTACAAAAGCTTTGTCTATTCTCCAAATAGTAGTGCTAAAAACTGAAAAAATACAAATGAGATACCAATTACACTTTGAAAGATATTCATAAAAATTTCTGCTAGTCACATGGGTTATTGATTTTTTCACTATGCATGTGAAGTAATATAATAAAATAGTAAATAGTTATAGAACAAGAGGGCCATGATGGCCCTGAAATCGCTAGCCTGTATATAGGCCCCAGGGGCGGGGCTAATTTTAACCCAGGGGCTTTTATTTGAACAAACTTGGTAGATCCCCATTTGAAGATGTTTCATAATAAATATCTAAGCTCTAGCTCTAAGAAAATCTTTAAGTTTTTACTAAACACATATAGTGAAAAACAATGACCCACACCCTCTGTGCGGGCCAATTTTGTCCCCAGGGCTTTTATTTGAACAAACTTGGTAAACACTCACTAGAAGATAATTCATGCTTAATATCTAAACTCTATCTCTTGGTCTTTTTAACAGAACATTTTTTCAGTTTTTACTATATACATAAAAGGAAAATCAATGATCCCGGGGCCGGGCCAATTTTTTAACCCCAGGGCCCTTAATTTAACAAAAATGGTAGACACCCATTAGAAGATGTTTCATGCTAAATATCTTAGCTCTAGCTTTTAAGATTTTTTAAAAGAAGATTTTTTATGTTTTAACTATATACATAAAAGGAAAAACAATGACCCCCTGGGGCGGGGCCAATTTTGACCCCAGGGCTTTTATTTGAACAAACTTGTTAGACACCCACTAGAAGAGGTTTCATGCTTAATAGCTAAGCTCTACCTCTTTGGGTTTTTTAAAAGAAGATTTTTTTAAGTTTTTACTATATGCATATAGGGTAAATCAATGACCCCCTGGGGCGGGGCCAAATTTGACCCCAGGGCTTTTATTTGAACAAACTTGGTAGACACCCATTAGAGGATGTTTCATGCTAAATATCTTAGCTCTAGCTCTTTGGGTTCTTTAAAAGAGGATTTTTTAAGGTTTGACTATATGCATATAGGTAAAATCAATGACCCCCTGGGGCAGGGCCAATTTTGACCCCAGGGCTTTTACTTGAACAAACTTGGTAGACACTGACTAGAAGATGTTTCATGCCAAATATCTAAGCTCTACCTCTTTGGGTTTTTTAAAAGAAGATTTTTTAAGGTTTTACTATATGCATATAGGGTAAATCAATGACCCCCTTGGGTGGGGCCAATTTTGACCCCAGGGCTTTTATTTGAACAAACTTGGTAGACACCCATTAGAGGATGTTTCATGCTAAATATCTTAGCTCTAGCTCTTTTGGTTTTTTAAAAGAAGATTTTTTAAGGTTTTACTATATGCATATTGGGAAAATCAATGACCCCCTGGGGCAGGGCCAATTTTGACCCCAGGGCTTTTATTTAAACAAACTTGGTAGACACTGACTAGAAGATGTTTCATGCCAAATATCTAAGCTCTAGCTCTTTGGGTTTTTAAAAAGAAGATTTTTTAAGGTTTTACTATATGCATATAGGGTAAATCAATGACCCCCTGGGGTGGGGCCAATTTTGACCCCAGGGCTTTTATTCGAACAAACTTGGTAGACACCCATTAGAGGATGTTTCATGCTAAATATCTTAGCTCTAGCTCTTTGGGTTCTTTAAAAGAAGATTTTTTAAGGTTTTACTATATGCCTATAGGGTAAATCAATGACCCCCTGGGGCGGGGCCAATTTTGACCCCAGGGCTTTTATTTGAACAAACTTGGTAGACACCCATTAGAGGATGTTTCATGCCAAATATCTAAGCTCTAGCTCTTTGGGTTTTTTTAAAGAAGATATTTTAAGTTTTTTCTATCGCCTCGGTCAATATGTCATCTGCCGGTGAATATCACATCATATTCAATGGCTCACTAGTCAATAATTGTATAACATACATTCTATTACAAAATCATATTTTTTTTTTATTATTTGATTTGTTTAATTTCATTTATTGAAATTCATTGTTTAATTTTTTTATAGCTACTGAAGTAGAACCCGGTGATATACAGCCACAAATATTGAAAAAAGGTGCATCTAAAAGAAAATTGTTTAGAGAAGCAGATGCTCAGGTTACTCCTAAAGGACAAAAGAAACAACGCACAAAGGGTCTTCACAGAACTCCACCTGCTTCTAAGTATACTGAAATCACTCCAAAGTCTAGACGCTCAACCATGTGTAATACTGAAATAAGGCTTTCTAAAGATGTACAGACAGTTCTTAATCCTTCTAAAATTTTATTAGTCAAAGAACTGTCTCCACACAGACAGTGTTTGCAACTGAAAATAAAAGTGTCCAAGCATGTATGGAGAAAATTGAATTGTTGAAAACTTGTGACAAAGAATTAAAACAAGAGGGCCATGATGGCCCTGAATCCGCTCACCTGTATATAGGCCCCCCGGAGCGGGGCAAGTTTAAGCCCCAGGGCTTTTATTTGAATAAACTTGGTAGACACGCATTAGAAGATGTTTTATGCTAAACATCTAAGGTCTAGCTTGTTGGGTTTTTTTTAAAAAAGATTTTTTAAGTTTTTTCTTTAAACTGTAACACATATACTAGTATTCAAAAACAATGACAGGGCCTGGGGCAGGGCCAGTTTTGACCCCAGGGCTTTTATTTGAACAATCTTTGTAGACACTTACTAGAAGATGTTTCATGCTTAATATCTAAACTCTAGCTATTCGGGTTATTTCCAAGTAGATTTTTAAGTTTTGCTATACACATATAAGGAAAATCAATGTCCCCCGGGGTGGGGCCAATTTTGACCCCAGGGCTCTTAGTTGAACAAACTTGGTAGACATCCATTAGAACATGTTTCATGCTAAATATCTTAGCTCTAGCTCTTTGGGTTCTTGAAAAAGAAGATTTTTAAGTTTTTACTTTATTCATATAGGGAAAATCAATGACCCCCTGGGGCGGGAAAAATTTTGACCCCAGGGCTCTTATTTGAACAAACTTGGTAGACACCCATTAGAACATGTTTCATGCTAAATATCTTAGCTCTAGCTCTTTGGGTTCTTTAAAAGAAGATTTTTAAGTTTTTACTATATTCATATAGGGAAAATCAATGACCCCCTGGGGCAGGGCCAATTTTGACCCCAGGGCTTTTATTTGAACAAACTTGGTAGACATCTATTAGAACATGTTTCATGCCAAATATCTTAGCTCTAGCTCTTTGGGTTCTTTAAAAGAAGATTTTTAAGTTTTTTCTATATGCATATAGGAAAAATCAATGACCCCCTGGGGTGGGGCCAATTTTGACCCCAGGGCTTTTATTTGAACAAACTTGGTAGACACTCATTAGAAGATGTGTAATGCTAAATATCTTAGCTCTAGCTCTTTGGGTTCTTTAAAAGAAGATTTTTAAAGTTTTTACTATATGCATACAGGAAAAATCAATGACCCCCTGGGGCGGGGCCAATTTTGACCCCAGGGCTTTTATTTGAACAAACTTGGTAGACACTTACTAGAAGATGTTTCATGCCAAATATCTAAGCTCTAGCTCTTTTGGTTTTATAGAAGATGATATTTAAAGTTTTTTCTTTTGGTTGCCATGGCAACCAGAGTTCTGCATGGAATTAAATTCTTTGAACAATTTTCAAAGGTGACCACCAAAGGAACATTCCTGTGAAGTTTGGATGAAATTGGCTCAGTGGTTTATGAGGAGATGTCATTTAAAGTAAAAGTTTACGGACGCCGGACGGACGCCGGACGAAAAGCGATCACAAAAGCTCACCCTGTCACAAAGTGACAGGTGAACTAAAAATATAGTTTTTTTTACTTTTACCTGTTTACTAACCATTAACACTTGATGGGCATAATGTTAATAAGGAAGAACAATATAATTGTTTAATAGAGCTTAAAATAAAATGTGTTTGTTTCCCCTCCTGCTATATATCTACCCACAGAAATCTCTCTTTCCAAAAAACTTTTTGTACTAAACATGAGAAGGCTGTTCGTCAATAATATATCATAAAATTCATATATATATAACAAAAATTTTGTAAAAAAATAAATATTTTTGATAAAAAAATATCCTACTTACTGGCATAACCTTCCCAGTCATGGCTTGCAGGAAGGGAAGCAAAGATAATTTCTAAGGCTGGCAAGGTATAAAGTTTTAAAGCTACATGCCTCCAGATGAGTCAAAATGTTTCAATAAAATCAAACGTGAGAAAAATGAACTAAGATGTAAAGAGAACTAAAAAGTTTCAAGATTCAAGTAATATTTTATGTATTATGTGCGATAAGACTGATTTTTTTTAATATTTACAACTATATTTCTACTGCGTTACTAACACAGTAAAGGCTATTTATGCATTTTTGACCACTTTTTGGTAATTTACATGGTTTGTTAGTGCCATTGATAATGTGTAAATTGCTTCCTTTTGGTTACTTCACAATATTACACATTCAAATAAATTTTCAAAATTTTCATGAAAATTAGCTTGAAGCTGGAGGCGTGCTGCTTTAAGCCATTAAATACTATCACTCAGTTAATCTTTTCTAAATGAAAAATAAATCAAAATGAGATAAATAACCAACCTGATACACATCTGCTAGACATTCATACCAATCTACTGACGGAGCAAACGTCCGTGTTTTCTCGGTGGCAATGGCATATTCGTATGCTCTATCAACATCCCGATTTCTTATGAACAGTTTCAGGAGTTTAATTTGTAGTTTAACATCGCTTGGATTCTTCACCTGCAATTGTTCAACAAATAAATCAACAATTATACAATTTCAAGCACTCTTTTTTCACTACTACTACAATTTATTGTATTTTCTTTAGACTTACTATTATAAAATTTGTAGAAAAACATTTCCTTTTTCACAAATGTACAAGGTTAAGACGGTATAATTTGCTAACAGTCACAAGGGCAAGAAAACTTAAAAACATATGTAACTTAAAAACATATGTAATGGTTGGAGATAAAAAGAAAAAAAAAAAAGTCCTACAGAGTTTCAAAGTCCTGAAATTCAGGCATAGTGCTATAAACTTTTACGGAAGAGAACAGGAATCAAGACAAAGAAAATACTTACAAGTTCTTGGTTTATAAGATGTTCTAACTCATCATTATTGGTTCCGCCATCTTGGTCGACTATTTTCTCCTGTAATTCATCAATGATACATCAGTTATCATATAAAAGGAACTCGAAATTTTGACATTTGACCATACAGAGTTTGAGTTAGTCTTGAGTAACAAATGATGCAAAAATTTCAGAAAGTTTCATTATGAAAAACAAGATCCAAATTCAAAACTGGTCAAGTCTGTTACATAAATATAGCTTACCAAGGGTTCAGATTCAAAATGACCATACTAAGTCTTCATATTTCATACAACTTTTACATTTGAAATGCATGAAATGTAAATGGTATTGTCTTTTCTCTATTTCTATATCAAGATATTGAATCTTGTACATTAACTGTCCAACAAAATAAATTTATACTGGATTACACAAACCTTCAACTTGAACACTACATGATGATTTGGAAAATATTTTTCCGCTCTGTCAATCCACACCTGTTAACAACAAAAATTCAATCAGAAGTATGTTAAAAATTTTCCAAGGTTCTTTTTACAATAATCTTAAGAGATAGAACAGTAACACTGAGATTTATCATAAAAGATACTTGGCATTACAAGGGTTAAAGACACGAGTTGATAGTAACAAAGATTTTTATTTTCAAAAAATTTGTGCAGACAACTAACAAATAACAAACATTACCTTTGCAATGTCATTGCTCACTTTAACGTCAACTTCACTGTACAATTCACAAACTGTAAAACGATACAGACAAATAATTTCACAAGAATACAATATCAATATTGTGACCTATTTTTATGAATTTCACTGAAATTAAAGCTATATTCCAATACATTTAAACAGCTGAAGTTGTTGTGTTATAAACATCATATGTTTTACAAGCAAGTACAAAATACATTTTTGAATAAAGCTTTGTAAATTCTTGTGTCATGGCTTATACATGTATTTGATGACAAAAACAACACTGTTCATATTCACACTCCTGTTTTACATCATTTCGAAATAACTTTTCTACCCATTTTTATTTTGGCCTTACAATGTACACATAGAAATAGGCACAACAGTATATAAACAATTATGTATAAACTTTACCTTTAAGGATAACATCTTTTTGTTCTGGATCTAAATCTAAAGACCTGAAAATATCAACATTTATTGATATCAATTAAATGTTTTAAAGACTAGTGGACAGGTCTTCAATGGGCGCATTTACTATAAGTATTTCAAATACTGATAATTTCAAATACTGATAAAAACACAGAAATGAATTATTTGGATATTCTTAAAAAAAAATGTGGATAAAGTTCTAAGTAACTTGACTAAAATATGACACAACTAATTAGACTTGTACCAGATGATGACAAATCTCATGGTAGAAAATTTCTGAGACATTCTCCTAAGTTTGACCTTAACGGCAAAAATAAACTTAAAAGTGTGACCACCAAGGTGTAACCTAAACTGGAGACCTTCACAGATAGTACTAGGCCTCAAATGTGGCACATCATCTCATAATTGTAACCATTTCTGCCAGATTATTTCAAATGTTTCAAAGGAATGTCAAAGTTACTAACTCATGGACAGTTTTCATAGCATAAAACCAACATGCATGGACAGGAAAATTGCTGTCTGTCACAAATTCAGTACATAATTACATACACATTGTGATTATATGCTTTTATAAAAGTTTCTAACTAAAGCAAATACATAAATATGGAGGTTCAACCACCAATGGTTTATTACTGGTTTTTCAAGTAATTGCAAAAATGGCAAGACAAATGGTTAACCTTTAATTCATTGTATTTTATGTATGTACTTCCTGAGAGAGAAAGAGATCCAACAAATACCATTTGAAGAATGTAAGATATCACAATTTATTTAAGAAAACTTAACAATATCATACCTTTTGAAAGATTCCAAAGCCTTGTCTTTCACTTTCTGGGCCTCGTAAATCTGGCCCATCAGCTTGTGAGCCTGTGGGACGGTCTCTCGAACACTAAGGAAGGCTTGTAGATACCTGAATATTTTAGTACATGAAAACTGACTTTATGTATTATTAATTATATGTCTTCAGAGGCATGTTTAATAAAAGATTTAAACCTTCTACATTTATATTTTGAAATAATTTAAAAGCAAAATTCAGTGCTACATGAATAAATGGGCAAGCCAAAAGAACAAGGTAACTTCTTGTTATTCACCTGAATATTTTATCATTGGAGAAAGTCTAAAAATGGCCATCTCTTAAGTATATTTCCTGATATTTAGACATTCTTTTATCATGTAATAATTCTAATTGAAATCATATTGATCAGTTTAATGTAAACAAACTCAATCTGAACAAGCAATGCATTCAATGAACTTCATGTCTCCAGCCAAACTGGTGACTCAGATTTATGCATTTATAGCCGAATTTGGTCAATTCCAAATTAAATAGTATTATTCCATCCAAAACCATTGAAATTACAAATAACAATATTGAATAACAATTCTAAATCTGATAGGGCCTCTTAGCTGTATGGTGCTAATGTTTGAGAGCCACCTAGACATACTTGCATTATTTAATCACTGCAATTTAATCAGATTTTCAAATTAACAAACATCCTGAATCCAATCGGTAGCATGTTCAATCTGAAAAACCTGGCCTCACTGACCAGATCTCTAGTAGTCAGGTGACTGTATAAAGTGCACCGTTCGTAGGACTTCTGTGTTTTGTGTAAGGTTAATGTAAGAGATCATGTATGTCTAAATCTAACTAGTTTGAGTGAAATCGTTAAGTTTCACATATATATTGCATTTTTAAAAAATTTAATCGTAACAGCTTCCCACGTAATAGGTAGCATCAAATTTCATATATTAAAATCTAACAATCAGGGGATATAGACTATTATCATACCTTTTCCCAGATTCATATTCAGCAACATCATAGTACAATTTGGCAAACTGGTAACCTCTAGAGTTTCTCTGTCATTAAAGAAAAAGAACAGATGTTAGTAGCCACATGTATGCAATTTAGAGCATATTATACTTGAATTGTCACAATATCTGACCGAGGGGGTGCAATAGCCACAGGAAGTACTATGATGACTACTTATCTACACAGTAGCCTCAAGTTCTATGAATATCACTGTACTTAATGTTTATCGGAAACTATTTATATAAAAATACCATACATAAATGAGATTTATCTTCTATCCAATACCTGAACTTTTACCGAAACTGTTTGTCACAACTTTATTTCAAAAGATCCAGTTAAAGTGTCAGTTTCTAAGCTATTTCCATTGTCTGCCATTTTGGGTGATTTCAGAGGTGGTAATCCCTTAAAATGCAAGTATGGTAGGATAGATGGGTCAAAATCATATCTGCGGATGTTTCTTAAATAGAAATTTCACCATTTTCACGTATAAATGTTGAATTCTGCTCAAGTGGCGGCCTGGCCGAGTGGTAAACACGTCGGACTAGTAATCTAAGGATTGCTGACGGCGTGGGTTCAAACCCTGTCAGGGGCAAGCCGTTGTGTCTTTGAGCAAGAAACTTTACATTAATTGCTTAGTACTGGTTGGTTCCAGGAACGGATTCAAGAGTGTTTCAATAAGCTTATAGCTTCCAACACAATCAAACTAAAATAAATTTGTATAAACTAAGTTGGTGCTAAGGGGAGTAGCACTATAAATATGTTGGTGCTAAGGAAAGTAGCCCTATAGATATGACATCGCTTTGAGATATTTTTGCTTCTGGGCAAAGCAACGTCATATCGAAATTGCTCAAAAATCCATAGCACATTCCACCAGAAAATCAGGCAGAACGAAAAAAACAATTAAGACAGCATGTATTTACATCAATTTTGATATATTTATGGACAAAACTAAAAAATAAAGACGTTTGGACAAAATAATTAAACTGTCAAATCCGAAAAATCATGATTAAATTCTTTCACGTAATTACATTCCTTATACAGCCGATAAACAAATGGCCGCCATGCAGTGCGTGAAATCTGATTGACTAATTCAAATGCAAGCGTTTAACTGAGTCAGAAGATTCTAACAGACTATTTTTTTAACAAAATAATTGCCCATGCACTGTCAGCATGTTCGAATATATTTTTCCGTTCAAAAATTTGGAATCAATCTGTAAAGCACCAGTATGGCTGATAGACAAAAAAAGATTGATGTTTATATTTTATTTTAAATTGATAAGTACATTGTTTGAGAGTTTTTATTTACGACTGAGAAAAGAAGATAAGCTTTTGAATAAAGCTTGAAAGGCAAGATAATAGACATTTTTAAAAAATTTTATGATGCTATGCGTTTATGAGCAATAAATATAAGACGTCAGGCTTGACCGATAAAAACTATAACAAGCCTGTAACGTCTAATATCAGGGCCAAAAAACCCTTCTTTGTAGAGGCCGAATATATAGGCTGCTTCCCCAACCAAACTAGCCTCTTTTTTCCCCAATCTTTTGAAATTTCCCACAGAAGTTGGAACAAACTTAAATGATGGAGTTGAATTAAGGCCTTTTACTGCCTTATTAGTATTTCCGTGTGCTTTTTGCTTTTCTATTTTGAGCTTTTTGCTTTTCTATTTTGAAGAACTTGTTAAAATTGTGTGTTAAATGTGAGACCCCTTTTTCCAAAGTATGCCAAAATCATGCATATTTTCCCCAAGAAAAAGGCTGTGGCGCCTTCCCGAAAAATGGTGTTTTGGCCCTGAATATATTGGACTACTAAAGGGAGTAGACGGTACATATGACATTTGTAACTTGCACTTGCCTGTACCGTCCATGAACAGGCTCAATCAAACCGAGTCTGCAACATTTTGAACTTTGCCGTGTTTGGACTATCTTTTGAGATTTTCTTTTCTCTATCAACAGATCAACTACCTTAAGGTCTTCAGCGTACCCGTTTATATACTATGACATGACGTGAACCCTGAAGACAGACCCGTAGGGAAAGTCCACCAATAATCGTGCCAGGAATCTGACACGCTCGTATTCATTCTTCGAACATGCCATGAAGTAAAGTGAAGCATACCTTGATAAAACTATATTTAATCTATTGATAAGCCAAGGATTGACAAATAAAAATCTCATTACGATCATAAACTACCTTATAGTCTCCGACAAGTAAAAAATTCAGCACTTGGCCGCCATATTGCCAAAATGTTTGACCACGTGATTATATGATTGACCTTCACGAACCCATGTGCTTCCAACTTTTTTTTATAAATTACTTTTTTCAAGAAATTGAAAAAGGTGATTTTCTGACTTTGTATTTAATATATTTAAGTACTAGAAAATTAAAGGAATAAATAAAACATTATCTTGAATTATAAATATTGAAATCATGTCAACAATGATGTTCTAAATAGTAAATATAGTAAATGACTCTACTTAAATCGGTTCCCGCGAATGACGTCATACGAGGTCTCGCATAGCTTCTAAATGTCATGGCTGACTGTAGTCGGTGAAATTGATGTTTTACATTTAAAAAGGCAATTTTAATGACGGTATTAATATTTTAAATGGTATAGAACGATATCAAAATAATTGTTTTATCGCTAAATGCACAAAAATTGATTGGAACAAGGGTATTTGCAAATGAAAAATAAGGTTAAATCAAATTATGTTTTTCTGGTTAGGTTTCGTAACGGGTCTAATCCAAAACTTTAATGCCGCATCAGATGAAAAACAAAAATATTAAAAAGCGGCTTATAAAGTTTTGGAAGCCAGAACTACAGATCAACATGATCTATCATAATTTCTATGGATTGGCTGAAATTGAAAAAGAAAGTGCGTAATAACATTAATTCAAAATTATCAACCTCTTTCTCTTCTCGAATCTTGGAGAGAATATGGGACACATGTCTATCGACATCTCTTTTAGTTTTGAACATGATTCAATTTGTTAAACACTTTCATTCATAATTCTAAATTTGAAATTAAAATCGCTCGCCGGTAGGTATAAGTGTACCGCAAATGAGTTCCAACTTTTACGACAAGAAGGATAAAAAGTAACCGCACTAACAGCCATGGTTGAACTCTACTAAATCCGTTGCGTAGTAAATGAAATGAGTTACGTGTATCATTATCTTTACTTATTCTCCTTTACAGTATCTTTTTTATTGGTTTCGTGAGAGAATCTCGCATTACCACTTTACTAAAAGTCATTATGGACTTATGCAAATAGGGGTTTAATGAAATGTTCTTTTGTATTGTGTTATGTTTTTATGTAAATTTATATAATTATTATACTTAAGAAAATAATAAATAAAAGAAATGTTTAAATTCACTTAATGTGCATATATTTGTTTTTTTTTCAGGTTTTACTTATATATGTATATATATTCCTATGATGTTGTTTGTTCACTGAGATCTTTTGTATTGTGTTATGCTTTTATGTACATATTGCTATTATACTAAAGACAAATATAAATAATAGGTTTAAATTTTCAATATCTTGTCTTAAATTGCATGAAAATTTGTGATATTTCACACATTAAGACCCACGATAATTGACGTTCCCATAATTCAACAGATATTTTTTGCACTATATAAATTAAGTTCGCCGAAACTACTATCTGTTTTTATTATAATTTATATATATACGATAAGTTTGCCGAACTGGTACTTCGACGAAACTACTCTCGCCCAATGAAAGCACAACTTTTCAATCATTTTAATCATTTACTATTTTTGTTGGTTATAACGGTTATAATATGTCCCAGGCGGGAAAGTATCATTTCATAAACCGTTTTGTTGTTGTTTCTGTTGTTTTTGTATATGCTTGTAATTATGATTGTACACGATTAGTGTGACATGAACTGAAGCAATGTGAATTCATTCAGTAAAAGCAACACGTGTTTCCCTTTCTCTTATCTGGGACAGAATAACAATAGATTCTTTCCCAGTTCTTATATATATATAATATACCATACAGGTCTGTGATTTTATGGAGAAAAGTAAACAACAAATTTGGGTAGGAAAAAATGAATATGCTTCATTAATATTAATATATACAACTTTCACAAAATAGTTAAAAGTAGTTAAAGAAAATAGGCTGCGTTAAGGGATGGACTCTATCAAAGCAATTATCGGTAGTGTTTTTATTTACTACATAGACTATAGTATTATTCATAAGTATATTTATTTATAGAGCAATAACATTGTTGATGTAAAAACTTTTAAATGTTTTATCATTTTACGTGTAACTTACATTGCATATCTTTTTGTGTGACACTATACAAAAACGTTCCAAACAGATCTGGTTGTATTTCACATTTAAGATATTTTCAGAAATCACAATAAAGCTGTACACCTATAAACAAGCGCAGGACATAAACAATAGTAATAGCTGCCCATCAAAGAACTAAATTCACGATAGGAAGACCAATATATCATAAGACAAAATTATAGGGAACTGATCATTAAATATTAATACAATTTTATGTATTTCATGTATTTTTCTCAATAATTAAATAAAGCGTATTTTGTTTTACAAGCAAAACGAAACGAAAGACCGACGTTTTCTAAAGGCTCCCTTTTCACCCATTAAGTCAGAAGCTGAGAAGTAGCGTTTTCTCACAAACTATTACCATTGCGAGTCTCACTGATGGATTATATAAAATTAGTTACATTAAATAGTATTTACGATCACATACGTTAGGCTATTCTTGTTCGTTGATAGACACTACCACTTTTTGGTCGTAAGGGAAACTATTAATCGGATTATCGGCTATTATTCATCACTCTAAACATGTCATTTATTGCATCTGTTATTCGATTTACTTTTAGCTTGATTTTAAGGTGTCGCTATCAACAATTTGTAAGAATTTTAGTGCAAATAGTAAATATAAAAAATGAAAATTTGGAAGGGGAACAGAGTGTAATCAAACACAATAACTAATGAACAAATAATTATTCTAAATACATGTAATGGAGTATTTGACCTGATCTCCGGTATATATGTACCATGGGACGAGTTGAGTCGAAATCATATGCTACATGGCTAAGTCCCGGTGTAATATGAGACTGTTTATATAAATGTATACATGTGCATGCTAAGAGAGTAGTACAGCAGTTCTTGTTACTAGTTTATCTCCAGTATAAAACTTGTAGTCATAGAATACACTTGTGTCTCTTATTTCTCATTGAGTTATGCGTTGTCTTCTTGTGATATTCTCACATACAAATCCATATAATATTACACCGGAATCGGTCACTAATGCTAAGTACGTTGGACTAGATATGTCTGCTGACCCTAAATTTAACACATTTATACCGACATGTAGAATAACTTCTAATTCAAACAGGCTACGTCTACTTGTGATATACTCACATACAAAACCATATTATATTACACCGGAATCGGTCACTATTGCTAAATATCTTGGACTGGATATGTCTGCTGACCTTAAATTTAACACATTTATACCTACATGTAGAATAACTTTAACTAATTCAAACAGGCTACACAAAAAAGAAAAAAAGAAAGAAAAAAAACACGAAAAAGTGAAAGAGCTAACATACAACTCCTTGGTCTGGTGAAAGGTTGAATATGCATCAACTGTCTGGTCTCCCTACACTAAAACCAATATTGGCAAAGTTGAGATGATCTAGAGACGTGCAGTATGATGAATAAAAAAGGATTACTCCCCTCTTTCATGCTAGGGACTGGTTCCCGGATTTCCTTGCATCTCATAGCTGTATCTAGTGTCTGCTAAGGTAAGGTACCCTACTGGAAATAAGTGCTTGCACTTTCGTAGGTTATCCTGACCGCGCGGTCTAAAGAAAATCAATCAATCAATCATGCATGAAGAAATGGGACGACGATCCATTGACCATCGCAGACTGGACTGTACACCCATCTTGTTTTATAAGATACATGTATACCATAATATATAGTTGCAATTAATCTACCATATCATATGTCCAAGTCCAACGTAACTTAATCTGGCATATGCACCCTTTATCCATTTGTCAAATACAGGTTTCCCCTGGCTACCATACATATAAGTACTCCTCATAGGGTTGTACTATGGAATAAACTCCATAGCTACATTGTCATCCTGTCCAACTTAAAAATCTGGAAACAAAGTGATCCCTCGGAAGCATTAATTACAACAAAATTACAAGAGAATTGCAGACTCGGTTTTATTGAGTCTGTACATGAGAGAATACGTGCAACATCCTTCACGCCTCCAGCACCGGCTTCAGCGGTACTTAAGTCGGTTCAAACGGGCATTAGTAGGGTTGAAGTATTAGTATTGCTCCCGTGTTTTTAACTATTTAGATTTATCCTTTGTCTCATTCTTTCACTATTAAAATTTTAACCATGACTAGAGTACATTTCCAGTCTCACCTTCTTGGCATGTTTATTTTTCTTTCACCTTTTTCTTACAATACAATTCGCACTTAGTTTATGCCTATAGCACTAGCGAGAAGGGTTGGCAGTATTATAGATACATAGATTTGACGCGGAAAATAAATAGTGCTGTCAGACCATTTTAACAACCGGATAATTTTATTCTTCATTTCCCGCCAATCTTTGCAACGCTTTTCACTTCCGCTTTCCGCCGTCCGTAGGCTTCCGAATGAACCTTGTGTTGAAAAAAAAAATCATTTATCTGGAGAAGAAAAAAGCCAATTTTTCATTCCCTTGCTGATGCCATGCCATTCTAAATGTCTAATGTAATGTTTTATTGTTTATTCTATGTAATATTATAACTTCCGCAAAGATACAACTGTTATTGTGTCAATATATTTAGGAAAAAAGTTTCATTAGAAAATCTAATTTTAGAATTCTTTTGAAAAAGTCCACAAAATGGCGACATTAAATCATAATGCATAACTTTTTGTTGGTTTTTAAGGAGTTGATGTTATACGTGTTATGTCATGAAGTATTTTGTATATGTCATGATGTGGAAATGATTCATCTTTTACCTTTGCAAATTTTCAAAATCTTGTTAAAGTAGGTCCAGTATTTCTGGTACAGAAAGGTTGTTTCACAGATTGTTTTGTTCCACCAGCCTTCTTAAATTCTGCTCGAATATAGCCAGAATCTAGTGGCCTAACAATAACTTACGGTGATAAGATTCATAATTGATGCACAGATAAATGAGATTACAAGGACAATCACATGGTCATATATAGCTAAAGAGACTTCAGCGAACAGGTTATATATCCTAGAGTCATTAGTTTTGACGCCCTGAAGCTGTTTAACTAGTGCAATTTTTTATATTGAACTTGATCAAAAAATAATATACAATATAAAGTTACTATGGCATGTTGTTTATCACTGCAAACCATTTTTATGTTTGTTAAAAATTCAAAATCAGTTAAGTTTTGTACTTGAGTAAACAGACCGTGGAGGCATCCATTGATGTTTACAGTCATATGAAATGACGCCTTTTCATTGGGTGGTTATTTTAAAAGGATATTTCACTGTAACGTAATATGAACAGCAAAAGAATAATTTTAATGAGCAAACATGCAATGAAACAACATCGTGAAAACTTAAAATTATGTTTTATTTCATATAAAACTGTCCATTATTTAGGAATGCCATACACCCTAGCAGTGGTCTTAATAGGTGCACCTGTCTCTTTCACTTTGAATGTATTTACCATTAATCTTGATGAATAGCATCTGTTTTTGGCTTACAGGGCTGAAACATATATCTAAAATGAAAGATGTTGCAAAGATATGTATATGTTGATTTGAAAAAATGATTTTTTTCTTTCTTTTATAAACTTTATATACAATAGTTAACCCATTATGAATTTTACTCAGTATCAATTAAAAACCAATTAACGTTTTCAAACAATATAAGCTGTACACCTTCTGCTACAGTGAATATTAAGGACACTTTGCAAAGTTTTGGTCACATGACACTCATAAGACATTTTAAAATGGAGGATAGAAACAGAAAAGGGCAGGTCAAGATTTTTCAAAGGCTTTATTTGCAAAATTATGGCTTGCATGAACATCGATTGAATTTGCATTAGTAAAAAGATGAAAAAATACAGTAAATTTGATAAAGGTGAAGTATTTTCAGTGAAATGTCTCTGTCTTTCCGCATGTTTTAGTTATACATTGTAAGTACATGCTTGCAGTGCAGTCAGCAAATTATGACGTCATGCGAGGTCGTTTTCGTCATTTGTTAGGTCAAAACATAAATGGCGTCAAAATAGATGAGCGTCAAAACACATGACCGGACGATAGTACTGCTAGACCTGTTCACTGAAGCCAATCCCGTATTGAAAGTCAACCAGAACCGTGACATTTTTATGTCATGCTGTAATTCAATAAATTTGTGTGATCTGGACAAAAGCTATTTTAATACAGGTAGTTAGATATATTTGGGACACTTCAGTCTATATTTTTGAACACAGAATGTTCGAGATTGATGAAATAGTGCCTCAAAGTTTATCAGTGGGTTCACATTTCAAAAAACTGCCATTGCTGCCCTAATTATCACAAGACTAGTGAGAATTTAGGTTCCGATACCTTTGCATGACATTTGGTGACACGTGACCCAAATGCTATTTTTAGTTGAAAACATGGCTTTGCAATTATGGATAACGGTATATTTTTTCAATAACAGACATTGTACCAAAAACATGTTGAATTTATATTGTTTTGAGTAATGATTCATGAGTTATTTGTTTGTCTTTATTTAAAATCGTACACTTACTGAAAATAGTGTATTGTCTGTTACTAAAAATAGATACTACAATTCCCAAAACTTGAAGTCCCGCGAGAGTTCATTTGAAAGCAGACTCCGTATTGGTAAACATTATTCTCTACATATTTCCCCAACAAATAGTTGGGTGCACAATGTCATTGAAGTTTCATTTAAAAACAAAACATGAATTGATTCAAAATTGATTTGTTTTATCAAATGGTATTTTTATTTGACCCAAATTTTATTAATAAAGGTGATTTTAATAGGTTTTTATGTACTGCTCACGAACTGCCAAAATTCTGGTAGCCTTTGCAAATAGGGTTGACCCATAACTTTACTGTCGCACAACATCAAAATAAAAGTGACATATAAAGTTATGGAAGCCAGAACTAGGTCATATACAGTATAGAATCAAATGCTTATTCTTCATTAATCTCAGAGAAATGGTGGAATTGGTGTACTAAGGTCAAAGTTAACTCTATGAGAAAAAATGTCTGTATACAGATCGCATTTAAAAATTGAGAATGCAGCTATATAGGTAGGTAAGCCGATTAGCCAACAGAGGAGAGAAAAAACAGACAGACTTGGGACTATTTCTTGTGCACGGCTTTATATTGTAGAGCAAATAAAGTTTCCTTTTAAAAGGAAAGGCTTGCTCAGTTGTGCCTTCATCCCAACCCTTTAAAATTGTTTTTTTTTAGCTCACCTGTCACAAAGTGACAGGGTGAGCTTTTGTGATCGCTTTTCGTCCGGCGTCCGTCCGTCCGGCGTCCGTCCGTAAACTTTTACTTTAAATGACATCTCCTCATAAACCACTGAGCCAATTTCATCCAAACTTCAGAGGAATGTTCCTTTAGTGGTCACCTTTAAAAATTCTTCAAAGAATTTAATTCCATGCAGAACTCTGGTTGCCATGGCAACCGAAAGAAAAAACTTTAAATATCTTCTTTTAAAAAACCATAAGAGCTAGAGCTTAGATATTTGGCATGAAACATCTTCTAGTGAGTGTCTATCAAGTTTGTTCAAATAAAAGCCCTGGGGTCAAAATTGGCCCCGCCCCAGGGGGTCATTGATTTTCCCTATATGCATATAGTAAAAACTTAAAAAATCTTCTTTTAAAGAACCCAAAGAGCTAGAGCTAAGATATTTAGCATGAAACATGTTCTAATGGGTGTCTACCAAGTTTGTTCAAATAAAAGCCCTGGGGTCAAAATTGGCCCCGCCCCAGGGGGTCATTGATTTCCCTATATGCATATAGTAAAAACTTAAAAAATCTTCTTTTAAAGAACCCAAAGAGCTAGAGCTAAGATATTTAGCATGAAACATGTTCTAATGGTTGTCTACCAAGTTTGTTCAAATAAAAGCCCTGGGGTCAAAATTGGCCCCGCCCTGGGTGGTCATTGATTTTCCCTATATGCATATAGTAAAAACTTAAAAAATCTTCTTTCAAAGAACTCAAAGAGCTATGGCTAAGATATTGAGCATGAAACATGTTCTAATGGGTGTCTACCAAGTTTGTTCAAATAAAAGCCCTGGGGTCAAAATTGGCCCCGCCTTGGGGGGTCATTGATTTTCCCTATATGCATATAGTAAAAACTTAAAAAATCTTCTTTCAAAGAACTCAAAGAGTTAGAGCTAAGATATTTAGCATAAAACATGTTCTAATAAGTGTCTACCAAGTTTGTTCAAATAAAAGCCCTGGGGTCAAAATTGGCCCCGCCCCGGGGGGTCATTGATTTTCCCTATATGCATATAGTAAAAACTTAAAAAATCTTCTTTTAAAGAACTCAAAGAGCTATGGCTAAGATATTTAGCATCAAACATGTTCTAATAGGTGTCTACCAAGTTTGTTCAAATAAAAGCCCTGGGGTCAAAATTGGCACCGCCCCGGGGGTCATTGATTTTCCTTATATGTGTATAGCAAAAACTTAAAAAATCTTCTTTGAAAAAAACCCAAATAGCTAGAGTTAAGATATTAAGCATGAAACATCTTTTAGTGAGTGTCTACAAAGTTTGTTCAAATAAAAGACCTGGGGTCAAAATTGGCCCCGCCCCGGGGGTCATTGATTTTCTTTATATGTGTATAGCAAAAACTTAAAATCTTCTTTGAAAAAACCCAAATAGCTAGAGTTTAGATATTAAGCAAGAAACCTCTTCTAGTAAGTGTCTACAAAATTTGTTCAAATAAAAGCCCTGGGGTCAAAACTGGCCCGGCCCCAGGGGTGTCATTGTTTTTAAATATATTTGTTTAGTAAAAACTTTAAAAAAATCTTCTTTTAAAAAGCCCAATGAGCTAGAGCTTAGATGTTTAGCATGAAACATCTTCTTATGGGTGTCTACCAAGTTTGTGCAAATAAAAGCCCTTGGGTTAAATTGGCCCTGCAACGTTGGGTGGGGGTTGGGGGGGGCCTATATACAGGTGAGCGACCTCACGGCCATCATGGCCCTCTTGTTTCAATTTATTATCACATTTTTTTGACTTACGGTATTTGTATATCATAAAGGGTTTATTTAGTGTTTTTTTTGTAAAAACGAATTTTTTTGTCAAAACTATTTGAAATCTATTCTCTATTGTATAAAACTAATAAAGAAAATAATCAATCGTAAAAATACTAACGTGGAGATCTATCTATCACACTGAAGGGAAACAAGTGTGCACATTTCATTTCCACTTTTTTCGCAGAGAAATCATTTGTTTTGGCAGTTGCTAATTTCATTTATATAGCAGCTTTATAGACAAGTAAATGCACTAAAATACTTCGTTACGTGGTACCAATTAATAAGCATGTATCAACTATGTTTACGATGCGCTATCTGTAGATCAGCATGTGGTAAGGTTAATGATATGCATGGGCTAATTTTAGATTACCTCATGCGTACAGTAGATCTAAATATAACTCGATCATGCACTAATATTCTGTGTGATTTGGTAAGCAGGACCACCCTTTGGATACGGAATACTACTACAGTAACCATTCTCTATTGTATAAAACTAATACAGACAAAAAACAATTATAAAAGAAACTAACTTTTGCGTCTTGAAAAAGAATTGAATCGTTTATAATTTATTACGGTTTAAACCGATAAATCAAGTAAAAATAGAAATCCTATTTATATAAACAAACTGGGATTACCGAAGTAACTAAAATAGCTTAGATTTCCGTAATATTACTTCGTCTGATTCCGCAGTATGACGGAATCGCCCGAATCGTCACGATTGCAATCGGAACTACATCGGCTATTATCATTAATCCGAATAGTGACGGAAAGGGCCGAAAAGTTGCGATTGGCACGATTGCAGCTGGTTTCCCATTTTATCATGCACTAACAAATGTAAGCAGGAAACCACCTAACGGGAACAACTTTTCCAAAACAGATGGCTTGCAGCCGTGGCTGCAAGCCAAAAAGCCTTGAAATAGACATTAAGAAACGAACCATAATTATGGTGACTTATGGTCTATGTTTCTCTTTTGGTTATCAAGTTTGGGAATTTTTTAGTAATCCACTTGCTGCTTGTTTCAAATTACACAACTGTATTTTTTTTTACTTTTTCAAGTTCATATTTCACATGCATTTATCTTGTTCTTCAGTTGAAAGAGCTCTGGAAGATAAACCTTTAACCGTTAAATGAATTATGTAAAAGCAGGCCATAACAATTCCACTTGCCCAGTGTTGCATCTAGAATTTCAAAATTATGGGGGATTGTCCCCCACTCAACTGAAAAATGTGGGGGACTTGAAAAAAAATTGGGGGACACACATTTACAATACACTATGACTTATCGAAAAGAATTCATTTATTTTACGTTCAGGCATTTTTGACAGCTATCGTCCGCTCAAAAACGGAAGTAGAAAAAATAAAATATTGACGAATACTACAAAACACTTGCGAGATGACCCAGTCGGCTGCTACACGCTTTTTAGTACGTATTTTAGTCATTACCACAAGTGAAAACAAACATGGCTGAAGCTTTCAAGGCACGATGAAGATGAAATGAATAAAGTTAAAAAATTGTCAGATGCGCGACTTGGCGCGCGTTGACTTCATTAAAATGCGCGATCTGCATAAAATATGCGCAAATCGCGCAATTGGGCGTCCTAGATGCAACACTGCTTGCCCACTCACATTTGCAAGTGGAAGTTTGGGTCGGGGAAAAAAAATTATCATTCTTGCCCAGAAGGGCAAGTATGTTTCTTCAGATTCAAATGGTGTTTCTTTAAACATTTATAAATGAAGTTCAAGTTATTCGGTAAAACAATCAAACTGCAGACCTCATTTCAATATTAAAACCTGTCAAAAGAAAACTGGAAATCAACTTGTGGCTAAGTATAAACTTTACAGAACAAGTATGATGAATTGATTAATGTGTCCCCCTTCAGAAACAACAGCAGCATTCGACAAATATGTTGATTCAAGTTTTATACTAAGCCGTTGATTTCCGCAGCCCAGTATGTTACAATTTGAATGAAATAAGTATACAGGCTATGTCAAAAGTTATATATCAAAAGTATGAAAAGTGTTATAAACAATATGTGATTAAAGCCAGACAGGTAAATCATAATTTTGAGTCACGTGTTTAAGATTTTAATTATTTTCGTCTGTTAAAATGCAGGGCGAGTATATTTTGTGAAGGGCAATTAAATTTGTACTGTATTCTAAAGTCATTGGTTCATTGAAATGTTTTTAAGACATAATTTCTTTAAGTAATAATGCAATGAAGTGATTCTTGGTTCTATTAAAGAATGGTTGGGTTTGAATCCTAGATCGGATCTGAACTACACCTTGCAGGTAATACACTGCCCTATGTGTCACTGAACCACAAGCCATAACTCTAGCCTTGTTGAATGAATTTTCTTGATGAACATGAAAAATTTCTGGTTAAAATTTTGCATTCAAATAATTTCTTGGTAGACTGAGACATTGAAGGTTTTAAAGCATGGCAAAAGTTATGAAAGTCTAATGTCTGAATATTCACTAACATCTGTTTTCAGATTGAAGTCATGGCCAGCCCCCAGAAACCTGTACTAAATGGTTTGGATTCAGCCCCAGCAGCTAGTGGGTTTAGGCACACTTTGCCTCAAATTGCTGTAGCCACAAGAAATCCAAAAATTTCTCAGACTAAGGCTCCTGTCAAGGTTGATGTTTCTGGTGCGGAGCATGCAACAACTGACGTTGAAGGAGTTGGAAAAGTTGTCCATATAGGTAAATAAGATAATTATGGTGGAATACCTCTTCTATGTTAATTTGAAATCTGATTTTCATTTTAAACTGGTAATTTCGAAGAAAAGTCCCGGTTGTTTGTGGCGTATTGCTGATTGAAGAAGCTTAGTTAAATACCGTATAGGTACTCATTTCTGCGGGCTTAATATTCTGCGATATTTGCTAAAATAAGGGGTTTTAAATTTCTGCGTATCTTATTTTTGCGGTGCCTTTATTCTCGCATTGATGCTTTTTATTTCTGCGTTTTAATTAAAATATTTTTACAAAATTAACCGACACAAACAGATAACATGATGTAACATGTATTTACTTCCGGTTAACATGCAGACGACTGATAATGTGTTTTGTCTTAATCATCATACATCGGTATATGCACGTTAATATACAAAAATCAACAAAGTGCAATGACAACAATTTTAATACTGTATGTGTATGAAGTGTGAATAATAAACAATGGCAAAATTGACATAGACACAAGATATTGTACAACTACAAAAGGGTGTGTTTATTGCAATCCTCAAACTACAAAAGTTTTATTTTACAAAAAAAAAAATCCAGCTAAGGATGAGCGAAAATCATACATATATCATATTTATTTAAACAAAGAAAACAAGCAAAGTAACTTTTTTTTCTGATATTTTATTCACGACAGATATATAAAGAAAATTCCCATCTACAAAAGCTGATAACAGTACATGGTAATGTAATTATACAGTACCTATAGTTGACATATTTTGACATACACATATGAAAGGGCTTAATTTTCTGTGGTTTTAAAATCTGCGGTGTCGTTACGAACCGCAGAAAAAGCAGAAATAAAGTTCCTGCAGAAAAAAGTACTTGTACGGTACCACTCATTGTACTCTTTTTCCAAGTTGAATTTTGTGTGTTTTTGTCAAAACACTGTTAGTATCATAAGGGAAGATCATTTACATCTTTGGACAGTTCATACTGCTGCGATATTTCACAGGTCTTGGTGAGTTTGGAGTATGCCATTCAGAGCTTTAGCATTTCAAATCTGGCTCAAATGAGCGGATCCATGTTTCGTTGCTAACAGCACTCTATTCAGCATCATTTCACCCTTCTCTGAATATGTTTTCAACAAATCAGTGCAAATTTGAACATGTTTTTCTTTTTCTGTTTTTGAAATGCGTGCAGCAGTGCAGTGATCTTTCTCTTGTCTAAGCGTCCAGGGGTAGAGACAAACTTTTCGACAGGTGTCCCTTGGCCATATAATTGCAAAATCAGGGACACCTCACTATTTAAAATGCTGATTTCCAGGAGTTCCTTATGAATTTTTGGTGTCCTCGGGGACCCAGGGATACTGTTAGTGTCGATCCCTGGCGTCGGAATAATATGAACGGATAAGCAATTTCCTTGCATGTCAATCATCTATCATATTTGAGAATTTAAGCAACAACTTTGGTGTTATAACATCTGTAACTGTCACTGACCTACAGGAGGGCTTCTTGTAAGACTCTTGCCGCCCATTATTGAAATCCTTCACCCATCTACAAAGAATAAGTCCAACTGCACATGTCAAGTCAACCTGGAGGGCATTAAATATTTCAGTTGCTTATTTTCTACACCTACTCCTTTATATCTAAGATAAACACATAAATTCCTTCTTGCGTCAGGGCAAACGCATCATGCCCCATTACGTTGTTTAAAATGACATCATCAAAAATGACATAAGGTCTTAATGTTTTTAACATGTGCGCTTACGCGCTAAGGGTTAATTTAGTTATGTGCCAGGTTTTGTGGCTTTATGTTTTTTCAATCAAAAGTAACAAATTAACTCAAAATTAATTCATTTTCTGATGACCCTCTTACGTATTCATTTGTTACTCTTAAACTGTAAGTAACATGTTGACTCGACTGGAGTCTTGCAGCCTTAAGCTAAACAAAAAGTTCAGGTTGAGAATGGACTTAAATAAAGAAAGCATACTATTTGGTTTATCTATGATTTTTAAAACATCCTCAAAATCGAACTTCTTGAATTTATTTTAGTTTAATTGTGTATGAAGCAGTATGCCTGTAACTTTCTTATACTCTATGATTCAGTCTTTATTTGGCAATAGGCAGTACATGCTATGTCACGACTAGGGCTGGATCAATATACCGGTAAATCGGTTTTTACTAGTTTTCTGTTTGTACGGATACAAAGGGAGATAATTCTGTTAAACTTAAATGATCTTGCTTTCTTTTCGTTTTATCTTTGGTTTGTAATTGTGTCAGCATGAACTAAAATTTTTAGATGCTGTTATCCGTTTTTTAATGACAAATAAATCCACTGGTCAACATTTGAAAAGAGTAACAAAACTGGTTTACTTAAGCTGTCTTACTCTAGTGACCACACTATTGAGAGCAATATGGGTTCCCTTTCAAAATGTGCCAAAAAGCATTGAAATGAAGTTGATAAAAACTTCAGTTTTGAACCCCAACATCCAGCTGAAAATCTAGTTTTGGTACATTTCAGTTATCACATTATGACAAATATGTTAAACTCTAAATTCTAAAATTATATTGACATGCAACAACAATTTGTAACCAATACATCATAACTATTAGGGCAATTATGTTCTTAATCAGTAAATGCTGCCACTTCTGTACTAATTTTTACAGTGATTTTTTCCCTATATTTGCCAAATAAAGGCTGTTTCCCCTTAGCCCAAATAGATATATTTTCCCATAAAAGTGTTTTATTTATGCCTGAAATGCCCTGTGCACATTCTTCACCAGAATCATGAATTAACAGCAGCTGACTTATATCAGCTAGTTGATAAATTAAATTGACTAAAAGATAGAAAGCTGTCCATACAGGAAGCCTCTGCTATGTACCATGCATGATTAAATTAAATTGAATTTGATTTTTTTTTAAACATGTGGGTGAATTTTATTCTCATTTGATGGAATTTGATATTTCAGGTTTTCCTCCTTTTCTGATTTATCCTGCTATCTTTTCCCACGCGTTTTTAAAATTGAAAAAAAAAACACTGATATTTTTAAATACAGTAACTAACAGACAGTTAACTAACTTATATAGATTTACAGCTTTGCAGTGGTTGTAAATATTGTTACATCTTTTTTGAAACATATTGTATGTAAAAAAAAAAATTGACATCTGGAGCCATCATCTTTAAAATAGAGGTGTACTAATGTCTGTGCTGTCCTCTATTGTTCTTAATTGTTTTCCGATTAGAAAAGCAGGAAATCTTGTTACAGATCAATATTTGTATGATATCCCATCACCTTAATTACCATTGATTTTTCTTCATGATGGCAGTTGTTCATATACAAATTTACTGTATCCATTTTACAGATTTTTTTCTCAAACTTGTTTATTACTATGAACAGTTTATCATGGATGTAGGGACATTGTTAAAATAACGATTTATTAGAGACCCGGAAAACTATATTTTTTTTTGTAATTAATGAAGTTGGATTCATATATATATAAGTGTGGCAGTATGAAATTAGAAAATCTGAAGTTTACCCAGGATGTGGATATTTGCATGTTGATAAATTCTGGTAAATATTGAACGTTATTGCACAGTTGAATCATTCAATAAAAATGGTATAGATTTTGTGTGATAAAGGTAAAAATTAATCAAATTGGTTTGTCCATTGTTTATTCTTTTTTCCGTTACATCAGTTTGAAGGGCGTCAAAAAGATGTTCATATACTTGTATATGCAGGTGTTCTAATTTTTGAAACTGTATAAAATATTAATACTATTTATAAAGGTCTTAAATGGTTCTCTTTCCTACAGTTCGTATTGGAAATTTATCTAATCCATTGATTTTGTAGGTATGGAATTTGTTTTTTGACTGCCAAATTAAAAAATTTATTAGAATAAACATGAAATTTATTAAATTTTGGATTAAAAAACATGTTGTATACAAACAAGTTAAAGTAAGTTTTATATATGTGAATATTTAGCAGGATTATTTCCACTTTGGGGACAGTGCGTGCAGGCCCTTAAGGGAAATAAAGGAATTCGAATGATAACATCCATGTTATTCAATTTGAGTATACGCTATTGTTTAGAAATCATGTTCATCCCGATTGCATTATTTTGTATGAAATGATATTTCCAGAATAGAAGTATATACTTTGGAATCGGGGCCAAATTTCGGCCCCAAATTGACCCTAAAAAGCACTGTTTGGAATTTGTTTTTGGTGATAGGTTATATACAATTTTTTTTTATAATTTGGATATTCAGGAATTCATTTTTGGTAAAATACTTATTTCCTGCCATTTGGAATGTTACTATATATAGAAATTATAGAGAATAATTAAATAATACTTAATATTTCCTATCATTAAACTTGCATTTCATAAGACATGCAAGTCTCGCTGTATTTCATTGTGAATAATATAAATATAAGGTATACAAGTGTTATTAAATGAGGCATGAAAAAGAAACAGATATTTATCTTCAATAGGACACTTCACTTAAATAACATCTGTCTCAAAGGGAAGTAAAAAAACAAAAACAACTTGGCTGTGTATAAGGCACCATTTTACAACCTGTTGTCAGGAAAAATGAACAATTACATTCCCAACTGCATTTAAAACCAACAGCTTGTATTGATTTGCAGCAAGTTTGATTTCTATTTTAATCCATTGAAAAGCGAGGTTTTCAACAGGTTTTGTGAAAAAAGGTTTTCAATATATCCTACTCATTCAAAATGTATGATCATAATGATACAGATGGTAAGCTTAGCTGTTTGTTAGTGATAAATTGACAGAAAATGTTTCAAATGTCACTGCATCTGAAATTTATTGATTTGATGCATAATTTAACATTATAACATACCTCTTTTGATATTTTCCAATTACTGAGTAAATGCTTGAAGTTATGAGTATGTGACTGACTGGGCATGCAGTTACATTATTAATTGTGTTTGTGAAATGAAGATACCTCATTTATCAATATAAAGTTGTAAAGCAAAAGCGTGTAGTTTTCAAGTTAATGTGTCCATCAAAATGCTGCGTTTATTTTTGGCAAGGTTATGACTGCTTTTCATCATTATTTTATGAAGCTTATGAGTTGACCTGAGTTGACCTCTGCATGCATGGATCCATGTCAATTTTATATGGCAGAATGAGGTCCAGTAAACAGGCTATTTTTTTCTAAAATAGAGTCCAAAAATGTCCACTTACTGTTATTAAAATCCATAATAAGGCTGTTTCTCCAAGAGGTTTTCCCCAAACTTTCCCCTATGTGCAGTAACAGATTAACTCTTATTTTCAAACAGTATTATCCTTTATTGCACTTAGATAATGTATGAAAAAGTGTTCAATGCCTCAAAATATTTGTACTTTCTATAAATTAGAAAAAATGGTTATTTATTTCTGCTAGTCAAATAAAGCTTTATGTTATAAATCAGTGTAAAATACTACTGTGGTGCCCTTTCTGAATTGTTTTATGGAATTGTGCTTCTTGGAACTTTGAGTTTTTATTGTTGTTTATTGTCCTATACCCTTCAGCAGTTAGTTTTTGCGCAGAAATATGGATTATGTCATACCAGGACAGTGATTGTTGACAGTGACCGCCTATTTAAAAAAATACTGGTAAAATCAGGGGCAATTAAAAACATGTTACAGTTTTTCCAATGCTTTTTTAAATGTTCGAGTTTTGTTTGGCCTAAAGACCGAAAGAACACAACGCCCTTAAACTTTACATTAATTTTGTTATCACAGGTTCTGAAGTGATGGATGTGGATGACTCCGCAGAGAAAAAACTACTAGCTGACCTGGAAGCTGAAGTTGAGGACAAAGAAAATGACAAGTCGGAAGTCAAAGATAAACTTGATAGTAAAAATGACCAAAATGGCAAAACCAGTGTAGAAATAAAAGATATAATTAGTGATAAAAATGAGGAGCTTGATAAAAAGGAAGAATTGACCAATAGTGAAAATGCACAGAATGAAAAGATAGAAAAAGATACAAGTAAAGATACGAGTAAAAGTGAAGAAGAAGTAAAAAAACCAATCACTGAACAAAGTGTTTCTGAAGGTAAAGCTTCTGGAGAGCAACTTAAAGCAGAATCAGAGGGTAGTTCAGGTAAAAAAGAATCAAGAGGTAAAAGAAAGTCGGCAGAGAATAAACAAGCTCCAGAAAAGAAATCCCAAACAAAATCGAAAGCACAAACATCGCCAGCTAGGGATAGTAGCACAAAAAGACAGAAACAAATTAAGTCACCTGCAGTTAGTGAAGGAAATTTATCATCAGATGAATCCAGTCCTAATAAGCGACAAAGAAAACCAAAGAAGTTTGAGGATGATGCTGGTGTAGATACTAAAGCTCCTCCAAAAACTCCAAAAACCCCAGTAGAGAAATTGACTAAACCAAAACCAGAAGTCAATCCAGAGCTGGAGGCTAAATACCCAGGTATGCATTCATCTATATTAGTATTTTTGCCTTGCAGAAAAAAATGTAAATTTGAATTAAAAATTAAATTAACTGCTAGACCCAAAAGTAATTAACCATTTCTATCAGTGTAGAAAGAGGCCAGATAGTAGACAGTTTCAAAATTGGAAGCTAGGCACCATCTATTTAAATTTTAAGAAGTCCAGCAGGTTATGGGTTAAAACTACATGATTTACATAGATACTTAGCTACTTGTATTTTCATGACTTGTAATAGAATTGAGTCTTCTGATGGCTAGTTATGTAGCGATATGTTGGTATAGATTTTAAATCTAAGTAAATCGGCAGATTTTTATACATCCCACTAAAGTGGGATTAATTTGCCCTTGTCTGTCCATGCTGTTGTCACACTGTCCATCTGTTAACAGAATTTCTGAGAAAAAGCAGTGGAATGTGGGAGGATACATGTCATTTGGATACATTCCTAGTTTATTTATAGTTTTAGTTTATTATAATGTAATTATGAGCAGAATTTTTAGAGAAAAAACAACTTATAATTGTAAAGAATCTGGTGAAAATACAAATTGTATTTTTTGCAGTGAAATGGCTGGTTGGTGATATGGTATGGGCAAAGGTTACAAGTCACCCATGGTGGCCATGCATGGTATCATATGATCCATTCTCAGCATTATATACCAGAATTAACCGTTAGTACCTTATATCTACATGTATGCTTATTTTAATTCTGAAAAGTACTTGAGTCTCATACTTGAGTCTCGAGAAAATTTTATGGACAGAATGCATTACTTCTTTTATTTTCATTAATTGATATTTTATAGAGAATACTTAGTTGAGTGGATATATTTTAACACCAGTACGTCTAAGACTTTTGAATGATATTTCAATTGTAATATATATGTGTGTAAGATCAGTGTCTATTCTAGGATTCGAAAAACAGGAGAGGGGGATTTTTATCAAAAAGAGATAATTTATTGCATTTGTTTATCTTTTTCCTTCTTTCTCTATGTAAAATTTTTCCATGCCTCTGAAAAAATAGGGGGGGAATTTTCAAATATATGAGTGAATTTCCACATCCCCTCTCCTAGAATAGACTAAGACCCAAATTGTAGGGAAAGTACATAAGAAAATAAATATAGGTTTGTTAATAGAGGATATATTAATGTGTCTATAAATCTCTTTATGTTTGTAAATGTTATTATATAAAACAGTTGCATAGCTGTAACATTGTAATAAATAGATATGTATCATAATCAGATGAGACACTATGAAGATGGTAAGCCTTGTTACCACTCTATTGGTGGGTACCCGTAGGACAGATATTCCCATCCTAATTGCTACATATGATGGATATTATTAAAGTTTCTACTATGTAAACAATGCCCTTATGATGCTTATGATGTTTCTGTGATAATTATTCCTATATTTAATTCACAGGGTGCAGAGAATATCATGTACAGTTCTTTGGAGACGCAGCAGAAAGGGCCTGGATCTCAATGAACAATCTATTAGAATTTCAGGGAAAGGACAAATTTGAAGAATATACGCAAGGCTTATATGCAGCCTCAAAATCAGCAAAAGAACTTAAGAAATTAAAAGAATGGTACGGTGTAAAACCTAATCGTGTTAAAGCTGTTAACATTGGAATTGCTCAAGCAGAAACAGCTCTGCCACTTAATCGGCAAGAAAGAAAAGCTAAATTTACATTTGTTTATAAATTACCTAAGGGAAAATTGACAGAATCTGTAAGCGAGAAGTTAAAAGAACTCGATGAAGATTTGAAAATTATTCAAGGTGCTGAAAAAGCCATTGCTGAAGACAAACCGGGTAAGAAACGTAAACATGAAGAAGTGGAAACTCCTTCAAAAACTCCAAAAAATACCTCCTCGAAACGGAGAAAATTAGAAACACCAAAATCGGAAAGTAAAGTTGAATCTCCTGTTAAAATTGGAAAAAGATCATCGAGTTCCTCGCGTGTCAAGTCAGCGACAGAAGGATCATTTGAAGTGTTTTGTGAGAACTTGCGAGGAAGTATGCTTTTAGAACATCCAGAATTTACGGAGGATGAGTTGATGGATTATTGTCGACAACAGTGGTGTATGATGAGTAAACAACAGAAAGCTAGATACAAGAAAACTAAACGAGGGGAATCTGGTATGAGATTATAATCTATATTATATAAAGAAGCAGAAATATATGTAAGATATACATTAGCCCCCCAAAAAACGTTGCTAAAAATTGAAATAAATAAGAATATGAAAAAGTCAGTTCACACTGAATGAATACTTAAACTTTAAGCATGTTTGTTTCACCTTACCTGAATGGCTAATCAGTGTATCAATGGTAATATCTGGTTTTTGTGACTTTTGTCCCTGTTGATAGAAATGGGCAAGTCCATTTAAGATATTTGATGTGGTCAAGGGTTTAAGACAACACGTTTTTCAATATTTAGACATAACGTTTGTTGGTTAAATACATTGCAATATTTCCTTATCGACTGACTGGTCAATACAATTTTGAGATGAAATATTCCAGATCTCAGTGATGACATGTCACCAGGTGCTGGACGGAAACGAAGGCCGTCCCAGAAAGTTCTCGAGGCTGAAGAAGATAACAAAGTCGTTGACGAGGTTATTTCTGGGAAGAAACCAGCTCCTGTAAAAACCGAGGGTAAATCATCGAGGAGATCACGTGCTGCAGTTGATTCACCTGTAGTAACATCTACCATTCCTACAGAGCAAAAAGAAGTAAAGGTTTGAAAATAAATGTCTTACTTATTGCATATGGTGGGAAGATGATATTATTTATGGATGTTTTGTCATACAGTCCAACCCCGTTTATTCGAAGTGCCTGGGACTGAATATTTACTTCGAATAATCGAAATCGAAATATTGTGATAGACGAAAACTACTCCACTTTGACCAATCATCGCAAAACTACCGTTTACAACACACTTGCTTCCTCTAATCAATTGAGAAAAATAAATATTTAAGAAAAGATGCGTAAAAATTATTGTATTGACATTGAAGACATAAATACTTGCATTTTATTTTACATTATGTATCGTTTCGTTTCGCGCAAAGCCTTGATAATGGCCGTGTCGTCACTACGGTATTTACAGCTAAACTTCGATTGTTTTCGATTAGGATAAATTAAGGCTCTCATGTAGCGTTGCAATTAATGAAAAAAATGTTTTGCATGTTTTGACAAATTCACATATACGGATTGTATAAAAATTATTGCTGTCATCTTCAACAAAATCGGACACGGTGCATAGCTATTCATTTTCGGTAATTAAAGTTGATTAAAGAACACACAAAGAGTTATTGTCATGATTGTCTAATCACACGCATGACTATATTTTTCACAAGTCGACTGGTCAGCGAGTGGATCTGCGCCAATTAGTCTGGCTTCGAATAATAATTAGGCTGGCTTCGAATAATAGGTGTGAAATTCTTTCATAATTGTATAATCGGGACCGAAATTTTACTTCGAAAAATAGGAGGTATTCGGATAATGCATTTCGAATAATACGCTCGTATTTATATTGTTTTATATAGAGATAAAAACGGGACCGCCGATCTACTTCGGATAATGCCGGGTATTCGAATAAAGGGTTGTCGAATAACCGGGGTCGGACTGTATAATAAATATTGCAAAGTTAAAGTTAAGTAGTATTACAGATTCTAAGACCGTAGCCCCGAGGGATTTATTACAACCTGTCGACGGATAAAACCGCAAAATGATTTATTTTCAATCCGCTCATATTAAAAAAAAAAAACAATTTAAATTCGCTGAACTGAATTACAGTCAACCCGGCCCCAAGTCAACCCGGCCTCAAAATTGGTCAACCAGGCCCCAAAATTGGTCAATCCGGCCCCACAGTATTTTTATTTGGTCAATGCGGCCCCAAAATTGGTCAATGCGGCCCCAAAATTGGTCATTCCGGCCCCAAAATATATATTTTTAAAGAAAATTATTTAAGTCATTTTGTTGTATGATGGAATAAAAATGATTTATTATTAATTGTAGAACAATAGTAAAAAACATGAACTGGCATAAAAGTGTCGGTAAATTTAATTGCGCCGATTAAGACTTTAATACGCAATAGTGATAATGAATAATATTATATAATTAATTTCAAAAGCATAATTGGTCAATTGTTGTTCCTGAAACTGAAATGATCAGATTTATTTTCTATGATAAAACTACAAAATATAACAAATCGCAAGTTTTTTGTATGTTTTTAACTTCATTTACATTATATATAAAGTTAAAATAATAATACATGTAGCAAATCGTTAAATTTTGCCCATAATTTAAAAGTGGTTAGTTTCTTATTCCATATAAAAGTCATATCCATGGCCAATAGAATATACCAAATATGACTCGTTATCCGCTGAAATGCACGGACAAGATCTTTCTATTTGAGAAAAGGAAAAAATTGATACAACGTATGACACGTGCACATGGTTGTCGGCAGCAATCAATGCGCTAATACGATGATTTGATTATTGGATTTTCGCACTTATCGTAATTGACACACACTTATTAAAGCCCATCATTAAAGGTGTTATTGGCGATTTATCATAGACACATGGATCAAGAAAAACAATCAGAAACTTTATAAAATATAAGTCATATTCGGTATGACTTTTCTTTAGAATATAACAACTACAACTACAAATATTTTATTGCATTAAAACAACATGTACACTATATGTATCTGCATTAAAGATGACTAGTTATTTCGCAAGTTTGCATAGTATATATATTTTGCTAAATTATTAATTATTGCTTTTGATTTTGCACATATATGCACAAATTTCTGTTTAGTTGGCCACGTATAATAATATCTCTTTATATATTTTGATCTTAAGTCCTGGAATTTAGAACATATTAATACAAAATGATACTCATTTTCTATAAGACCGGCATTACAATTACTACACAATCTTTCATTTCTTGGTATATTTCTATGCCGTCCACGTTAAATAGCCAAATTATGAGAAGATGAACGACATTTGGATCATTTAAAGCTACCCTAAATTTCGGTTCAACGATAAAATCCAAATTGTTTTCAAATTCGATTGAATGTTTAAATAAACAATATGTATCTAATCTATACGAGTTATTAATTTCACACATAACAATCTTCTACAAAACTTTGTATGAATAATTTCTATGTTCGGACCAGCGTGATGTCCCCACACTTCTGCAGCATAATTTAATGTTGGTTTTTTAGCTCACCTGTCACAAAGTGACAGGGTGAGCTTTTGTGATCGCTTTTCGTCCGGCGTCCGTCCGTCGTCCGTCCGTCCGTAAACTTTTACTTTAAATGACATCTCCTCATAAACCACTAAGCCAATTTCATCCAAACTTCACAGGAATGTTCCTTTGGTGGTCACCTTAAAAAATTGTTCAAAGAATTTAATTCCATGCAGAACTCTGGTTGCCATGGCAACCAAAAGAAAAAACTTTAAATATCTTCTTTTAAAAAACCGAAAGAGCTAGAGCTAAGATATTTGGCATGAAACATCTTCTAGTGAGTGTCTACCAAGATTGTTCAAATAAAAGCCCTGGGGTCAAAATTGGCCCCGCCCCAGGGGGTCATTGATTTTCCCTATATGTATATAGTAAAAACTTAAAAAATCTTCTTTTAAAGAACTCAAAGAGCTAGAGCTAAGATATTTAGCATGAAACATGTTCTAATGGGTGTCTACCAAGTTTGTTCAAATAAAAGCCCTGGGGTCAAAATTGGCCCCGCCCCAGGGGGTCATTGATTTTCCCTATATGCATATAGTAAAAACTTAAAAAATCTCCTTTTAACGAACCCGAAGAGCTAGAGCTTACATATTTGGCATGAAACATCTTCTAGTGAGTGTCTACCAAGATTGTTCAAATAAAAGCCCTGGGGTCAAAATTGGCCCCGCCCCAGGGGGTCATTGATTTTCCCTATATGTATATAGTAAAAACTTAAAAAATCTTCTTTTAAAGAACTCAAAGAGCTAGAGCTAAGATATTTAGCATGAAACATGTTCTAATGGGTGTCTACCAAGTTTGTTCAAATAAAAGCCCTGGGGTCAAAATTGGCCCCGCCCCAGGGGGTCATTGATTTTCCCTATATGCATATAGTAAAAACTTAAAAAATCTCCTTTTAACGAACCCAAAGAGCTAGAGCTTACATATTTGGCATGAAACATCTTCTAGTGAGTGTCTACCAAGATTGTTCAAATAAAAGCCCTGGGGTCAAAATTGGCCCCGCCCCAGGGTGTCATTGATTTTCCCTATATGCATATAGTAAAAACTTAAAAGTCTTCTTTTAAAGAACTCATGGAGCTAGAGCTAAGATATTTAGCATGAAACATGTTCTAATGGTTGTCTACCAAGTTTGTTCAAATAAAAGCCCTGGGGTCAAAATTGCCCCGCCCCAGGGGGTCATTGATTTTCCCTATATGTATATAGTAAAAACTTAAAAATCTTCTTTTAAAGAACTCATGGAGCTAGAGCTAAGATATTTAGCATGAAACATGTTCTAATGGTTGTCTACCAAGTTTGTTCAAATAAAAGCCCTGGGGTCAAAATTGGCCCCGCCCCAGGGGGTCATTGATTTTCCCTATATGTATAAAGTTAAAACTTAAAAAATCTTCTTTTAAAGAACCAAAAGAGCTAGAGCTAAGATATTTAGAATGGAACATGTTTTAAAGAACCAAAAGAGCTAGAGCTAAGATATTTAGAATGAAACATGTTCTAATGGGTGTCTACCAAGTTTGTTCAAATAAAAGCCCTGGGGTCAAAATTGGCTCCGCCCCAGGGGGTCATTGATTTTCCCTATATGTATATAGTAAAAACTTAAAAAATCTTCTTTTAAAGAACTCAAAGAGCTAGAGCTAAGATATTTAGCATGAAACATGTTCTAATGGGTGTCTACCAAGTTTGTTCAAATAAAAGCCCTGGGGTCAAAATTGGCCCCGCCCCAGGGTGTCATTGATTTTCCCTATATGCATATAGTAAAAACTTAAAAATCTTCTTTTAAAGAACTCATGGAGCTAGAGCTAAGATATTTAGCATGAAACATGTTCTAATGGTTGTCTACCAAGTTTGTTCAAATAAAAGCCCTGGGGTCAAAATTGGCCCCGCCCCAGGGGGTCATTGATTTTCCCTATATGTATATAGTTAAAACTTAAAAAATCTTCTTTTAAAGAACCAAAAGAGCTAGAGCTAAGATATTTAGAATGGAACATGTTTTAAAGAACCAAAAGAGCTAGAGCTAAGATATTTAGAATGAAACATGTTCTAATGGGTGTCTACCAAGTTTGTTCAAATAAAAGCCCTGGGGTCAAAATTGGCTCCGCCCCAGGGGGTCATTGATTTTCCCTATATGTATATAGTAAAAACTTAAAAAATCTTCTTTTAAAGAACTCAAAGAGCTAGAGCTAAGATATTTAGCATGAAACATGTTCTAATGGGTGTCTACCAAGTTTGTTCAAATAAAAGCCCTGGGGTCAAAATTGGCCCCGCCCCAGGGGGTCATTGATTATCCCTATATGTATATAGTAAAAACTTAAAAAATCTTCTTTTAAAGAACTCAAAGAGCTAGAGCTAAGATATTTAGCATGAAACATGTTCTAATGGGTGTCTACCAAGTTTGTTCAAATAAAAGCCTTGGGGTCAAAATTGGCCCCGCCCCAGGGGGTCATTGATTTTCCCTATATGTACATGTATATAGTAAAAACTTAAAAAATCTTCTTTTAAAGAACTCAAAGAGCTAGAGCTAAGATATTAAGCATGAAACATGTTCTAATGGGTGTCTACCAAGTTTGTTCAAATAAGAGCCCTGGGGTCAAAATTGGCCCCGCCCCGGGGGTCATTGATTTTCCTTATATATGTGTATATCAGAAACTTAAAAGTTTTCTTTGAAAAAACCTAAATAGCTAGAGTTAAGATATTAAGCATGAAACATCTTCTAGTGAGTGTCTACAAAGTTTGTTCAAATAAAAGCCCTGGGGTCAAAATTGGCCCTGCTCTGGGGGTCATTGATTTTCCTTATATGTGTATAGGAAAAACTTAAAAAACATCTTTGAAAAAACCCAAATAGCTAGAGTTTAGATATTAAGCATGAAACATGTTCTAGTAATTGTCTACAAAGTTTGTTCAAATAAAAGCCCTGGGGTCAAAACTGGCCCCGCCCCAGGGGTGTCATTGTTTTTAACTATATGTGTATAGTAAAAACTTAAAAAATCTTCTTTAAAAAAACACAATGAGCTACAGCTTAGATGTTTAGCATGAAACATCTTCTTATGGGTGTCTACCAAGTTTGGTCAAATAAAAGCCCTTGGTTAAAATTGGCCCTGCCGGGGGTAGGGGAGGGCAGATCATTGTTTTTCATTATAAGTGTGTACATCATGAAACATCTTCTTATAGGTGTCTTCCAAGTTTGTTCAAATAAAAGCCCTGGTGTTTAAACTGGCCCCGCTCCGGGGGCCTACATACAGGTGAGCGACCTTAGGGCCACTATGGCCCTCTTGTTTGTTGTTGTTTTTTTTTTAATTTTATTTCTTGATAAGTGTTTATATTTTAAAACAAAATAAATAATAAAAAAAATGGGGCCGGGTTGACCAGAAATAACATTGGTTTGGGGCCGGGTTGACCAATTTGGGGACGGGCTGACTTGGGGCTGGGTTGACTTGGGGCCGGGTTGACTTGTACCGGCTGAACTACATTTAGCAGATCTCATCACTGTAGGTTCCAGCCACGCAAGCATCTTTAGATACTTTCATGTGAGGAAGCTATCAAGCTAGCTTATGGAAGTCAGTGTTTCTACTCAGGTGCAGATGGGCACCCAAGGTCTTTTGCCACCAGTAAAGCTATAAAGTCACAAAATGACCTATTATACTGTGTTGGTGCAACGTAAAATCTAATGACATTCTGCAGAGAACAAATTAGTTTTTTTTCAACAATGTTGGTAATTTTTTCAGTCAGAGACTAAGCAGTCAGAGACCAAAAAGAAGAGGGGTCGTCCAAGTAAAGCTAACACGGAGGTTATTGTGGCTGAAGGGGAGGCTGAGAGTACAGAAACTGTTGTGAAAACTGAGACAAAACCAGAAAATACCACAACAGACACAGAGCCAGATGCAAAGGTATTGTGATTGATTGTTTACTGGCCCAATCATCAGCTGCATTTCACTTTAAGTAAAATAACCACTTTTTCCCAAACTTTAAAAAAAAGTTTTTGACATTTTGCCAAAAAATGAGTATCAATTTTCCAGAATGATCGGACTGTTTTGATTTGTTTTCTAACAAGTTTTATGATAAATACATGAGTAAAAAATTTTCAAGGATGTGATACTTGATCATAAGGCATGCCTTACATACATGTATATAAATTAAGGCCATTTATTGACTAAGAAAGCTCACAAAGATTTGAACAAATTTGTGAATATTTCAGGCAAATACAACAGTAATACCGGCCAAAAGAGCAAGACCAAAGAAATCTATCTCCACAGACTCTGATAAACAAGTAGGTCAAGTATGTGTTAAGTTTGATAATATATATTTCATTCAACATATGTGAAAGATGACAGGTTTTTACCTGAATTTTTTTTCATGTGAGGGTAAGCTTCTTTGTATTAAACTTTGTTATTTGATGATTATCTATGTAAAATGTCAACTTTTGTAATATACTTAACCTCTTAACATCCTGAATTTGTATAAAGTGGATTACCCTGCTTTGAATGTGAAACGGTCCATTCCAAGTGTAAAGGTTCTGAATTTTCAAAATACAAACTTTGAGCTACTTGGCCAGACTGCAGGGATGTGCAAGCTGGCCCCGCTCTACTAGCGGCAACCTGTTTTGGTCCTAGGGGGTTAAGGTTTACTTATAGCACTAAAGAATTTCATACTTAGATTAAACATTCCTCAAAAGTTTCTTTGACCTCATTGGAATAATTGTAGTGTTCTTATATCTACAGAGTGAGAGTGGACGATCCACACCGGACCATATTCCAGACATGCCCCCGCCCCCAAAACGGGAGAAGGAAGAGTATGAATATGAGATGGAGATATACAAACTGTCGTCTGCTGCTCCACAGAAAAAAGAGAACTTATGTCAAATTTGTGAGCAGACGGGCGAGTTGATGGAATGTCAGGGGCCATGTCAGGGTTTCTTTCACATGGATTGTCTTGGTCTAACCGTGGCACCAGAGGGCGCTTTTAAGTGCGATGAGTGTACAAATGGTAAGAAATGTTTTGTCAGTTAAATATTTTTAACCAAGGTTGAGAGTAGAGATTGTCATTTGTTAATAGTGATTCATTATGAAATGTTCAGATTTTGGGAAAAAATATTTGCTAAAGTTGCTTATGTAGGAAGTAAAAATGCTGTTATAAGTTCAGAGGGAAAACTGCATGATTTTAAAGAAAAATTTGATTAGGAAGAGGCGTATTTATGAGGTGAAAAATCACTGCAGAATGACATGTACTAGCCCTTGTTTAAAGAACAATCTGTAGTTGTATTTTAAGGTATATATGCTCCAACTCTGTGTTATAGAAGCATCTCTACTATCGATGTTTTCCAAATATTTTGTAATGCGCAGTCATGCGTACATTAAACTTGCACGTCTTTGGCCCAATTCAATCAAATATTCCATGTTATCTGCCATATTTTTATGCCACCGCAGCATCTGCGATGCGGTGGCATATAGCGATTCACCTGTGTGTGTGTGTGTTTGTGTGTGTGTTTGTGTGTGTGTTATATAGATTATATAGTGAACTTAAAAAATCTTCTTGTGAAAAACCACTAGTCCAATTTCAACCAAACTTGGCAGGATTGTTCCTTGGGTGAAGGGCTTCCAAAGTTGTTCAAAGAATTTCATTCCATGCAGAAATCTGGTTGCCATGGCAACCAAAAGGAATTATAAGAATAAATTTAAAAAATCTTCTTGTAAAGACCCAAAAGGCCTAGAGCTTAGATATTTTGCATAAGGCATTGTCTGGTAGACCTCTAACAAGATTGTTCAAATTATAGCCCTGGGGTCAAAATTGGCCCCGCCCCGGGGGTCATTGATTTTCACTATGTACATATAGTAAAAACTTAAAATACCTTCTTGTAAAAACCCAAAAGGCCTAGAGCTTAGATATTTTGCATAAGGCATCTTCTGGTAGACCCTTACCATGATTGTTCAAATTATAGCCCTTGGGTCAAAATCGGCCCCGCCCCGGGGGTCATTGATTTTCACTATATGTACATATAGTAAAAACTTAAAATACCTTCTTGTAAAGACCCTAGAGCTTAGATATTTTGCATAAGGCATTGTCTGGTAGACCTCTACCCAGATTGTTCAAATTATAGCCCTGGGATCAAAATCGGCCCCGCCCCGACGGTCATTGGTTTTCCTTATATGTATATAGTAAAAACTTAAAGTAAAAACTTAAAAAAAAATCTTCTAGCAATTGACAAATTCTAGAGGTTACATATTTTGCATGAAACATTGTGTAGTAAACCTCTAGCAAGATTGTTCAAATTATAGCCCTGGGGTCAAAATTGCCCCCGCCCCGGGGTCATTGATTTTCAATATATACATATAGTAAAAAATAAATAAATCTTATTGTCTGAAGGTGCAAGGCTTAGAGCTTTAATATTTGTTAAATTATATCATCTGAAGGTACTCTACAAAAGTTATTCAAAGTTTTGCCTCTTGTGTCAAAATTAGCCCCGCCCCCTGGTGGCCATAGTTTTCCTTATATGTATATAGTACAAACTTAAAAAAATCATCTTCTCTAAATTTACAAAGGCTAGAGTTAAGATATTTTGCATGAAACATTGTGTAGTGAACCTCTCGCAAGATTGTTCAAATTATAGCCCTGGGTCAAAATTGGTTCCGCCCGGGGGTCATTGATTTTCATTATGTACATATAGTGAAAAAATAAAAAATATTTTTGTCTGAAGGTACAAGGCATAGAGCTTTGATGTTTGATATATAATATCATTTATAGGTCGTCTACCAAAGTTGTTCAAAATTTTCCCCTGGTGTCAAAATTGGCCCTGCCCGGGGGCAGTGATTCTCATTATGTACACATAGTAAAAACAGAAAATAAAACAAATGTTTTCTGAATGGGAGAAAGCTATAGCTTAGATATTTGACTTGAAATGTTGTTTGGTGGACCTGTATCAAAATTGTTTTGAATTAAACCCTTGGGTCAAAATTATACCTTGCCCAAGGGGACAGTGAACTTCTTTCTTGTCCTTTGATGTACAGCAATGACATTTTGACCATGTGCACAATTTTAGTTGTAAAATTGAACTTTGATATCAGGTGACCTAGATTTTGATGATGTGACCTACTTTCTTGTCCTTTGGTGTACAGCTATGAAATTTGAACCATGCGGTGGCATAGCATTTTTCTCAAATGCAATCTTGTTTCAATATAAAACACTTGGATCATTAGAAAATATAGTGTATCAACTAGCACTATAAAATTCTTAGGGTAAAGAATCATGACCCCCCATGGTTTAAATTATTTAGTTTATCATTTAAACTTAAAGCAGACATATTGAAAATGTTACATAAATCAGTTATACAGGATTCTGGGTTACTCGGTATATTAATGCTAATCAAATATCCTTATTTACTTCCAGGTATTCATTCCTGTTTTGTATGTAAAAAATCGTCTGCAGACACGCAGCGTTGTAGTGTACCAGTCTGCGGAAAGTTTTATCATATAGACTGTATTAAGCAATATCCTCAGGCTAAAGTCGAGGGCAAAGGTTTAACTTGCCCTCTTCACAGTTGTCATACCTGCCTAGCAAATAACCTTAAAGGATCAGCAGCTAAATCTAATGGTAAGTTTAAATTGAAGTTTTTAAATATTCGTAATCTGAAGACTTGTTTTCAGTAATGTAATATATCTGCTAAGTTCTTATGACCTTTGTTGTCCAATCTTTTACTTATTGTAGTTGCGGGTTTGATTATCGTTGTAGTTTGAATTTGGCCTAGTGGTCAGATGTAGAATTTGAAGAAGCAGTCAATAAAGGTAACTGAATATCAGTATTCCTGATCAAGGGGGTGGCGATGGTGTTTGTAATTTTCACTCCAGATCATGGCAGTAAGCCACATTGAATTTACCAGAGCACAGTTCAGCCATCGCATCGTTCCTGGGCAGGTTGTCAAGCAGTGTTCCAGTACTAGTTGCCTTCAGTTTCGCAAGGAACTGAAACTTATGTACATGCCAGAGCAGAGTAACAATTCGAATGACCGTAGAAAAGATTTCATGATCAATGACAATGAAAGTGACCTGCGCCGTCCCGGAATCAAACTTGTGTCGCCTGATTCACACTGCAACGCTCTACCTATTGAGCTAACCGGATGGCTTTCTGATCAAGGGGGCTTTCTGTTTAAATATTGTAAAGATTGACATCTGAAATCTTCCTTCAATCTAACAGACATAAATAATGCTATGTGACTGTGGCAAATTTTCATGGTTCTGTCTATCTGCTTGAAATGCCTTTTGTTTTTAGCCTTGGCACTGATGTGCAAAGATTCAACATGTTGTATTTGGCTGTTGTTTAATATGACAAGTGAAGTATAAATATAAGTTGGGGCTGCATCTTATAAAAAGGTGCCACCTTATAAGCGAATATGTACAGTATGAAAATAATATCTCACTCACTGATGATGTTAGGAAATTTGCATTTTAAGATTTGCCTCATAATTATTAGCAACATTTTAAGGAATGTCTTAAATGAAGTTGTCTTAAGATTGTTAGCAACCTCTATGACGAATGGCTACAATGAAGTTTGACAATTTCTCCTTTCAGGTCGTTTGTTACGGTGTGTAAGATGCCCGACAGCGTTCCATGTCGGCGACTTTTGTATATCTGCGGGGAGTATTAATTTGACTGGATTTAACATAGTGTGTGCTAAACATTTTCAACCTATACCCTCAATGAAGCATCACTCACATGTCAACGTTAGTTGGTGTTTTAGCTGTAATAAAGGTAACGGAGTTCCTATCCACTTTTGATATGGAAAAATTTCATATAGTCTTACAGACTTCACTTTTGAATATAACAATGATGAGTGGTTTGTTGTAACTGAAGTTACTGTAGCCTGATGTAAGAAGAAACATGCATATGTATCAGAAATATCTGGCTCTGTGTGGAAATGGGAATTTATAATCTTGAGACATACAAATAATTTAAATCTCAATGATGTAGACCATAAGGTCATTTGTTTCTTACATTTCATTCAGAAATATTGAAATGAGTAGAACATCACTTGCAGAGAAACTGATAATAATTAGGTAGTTATCTAGGAAAGCTAATTTAGTGTCTGTCGAGATGTGAACAAAAAATGTGTTTTAAATTCAGGGTAAAAACTAGGAAGCAATTTATTATGGGCTTTATTTGAACATTCATTGTGAATGTTGTAGCAAAATTATCTTTCTTATATTTCATGTGCATCTTCCTCTATATTGTACTTGACTATTGGTACTTATTCTTCTTGATTGTTTATAGGTGGCACATTGTTATGTTGTGAGAGTTGTCCAGCAGCGTATCATGCAGAATGTCTCAATATAGATTTCCCGACAGGGAGCTGGTACTGCCAGGATTGTGTGAAAGGGAAGCGTCCCCTGTATGGAGAAATTATATGGGTCAAGCTTGGCAATTACAGGTATGTTGCAGCTACATGTATATCTTTAAAGTTTTGCAAGTAGCCAGAATTGTCTGTGTGCCGGAGTGGTTGTGGTCGTCAACTTCCAACCACATGTCCTCTCAGCTTAGTGGGTTGGAACTATGACAGGGACTCGATTTTTACATGTGAGAAAGCTATCAAGCTAGCTTGAAAAACGTCAGTGGTTCTACACAGGTGCCTGTTTGTGCCTGAAATAATGCGTTGAAGTACTTGTTTGTAGTTTTGAATGTTTTTATGTCAAATAAATATTGCAGTTTATTACTTATTTTAGTACAATGTTACTTAGCTAGTTATATGAGTTATAGTCCAGTTTTCAGATCAGAATTAAAGAAAACATTTAAAAAAGTGAAACTCATCTTCTGTACGTTAGATATATATATGAAATTCATTTTAACCATCTCTTGTTTTTGTTTTGTATGAAAAGAAAGGAAAACATTCATATCTAAGATATTTTAATTGTATTAGAAATCACTCCGGGAAACAATAAATAAGTATCTCTTGCAAAAAAAAAAATCTTCGACGTAGTGTTAAGAACTTGATAAATAACTTAGTGTTAAGGAAAATCAAGGTTAAAATGTGAAACTATGGAGCTTATATTATTTCTATATATAGATGGTGGCCGGGAGAGGTGTGTCATCCACGTAATGTACCTCTTAACATACAGGAGAAAGCTCACCAGGTCGGGGAATTCCCCGTACATTTTCTAGGATCTCATGAATTTTTCTGGTTACATCAGGGAAGGTAAGGCTGATTTCTAGCTGATTGAACTTAATATTGTAATATATATCTTCCAAACAATTAAATAGTGATGAAAATTTTTTTTGCATACCTTTATTTTATGGCCGTAGTGATGAAGTTAAAGTGGCTGAATTCAAAGCACATTGACCTCACTTATAGGTGTTTGAATGTCGGGACTTAGAATTCTTTCATGTGAACTAGTTTCTCAGCTAGCTTAGGAGTGTTGGTTTGTGGTTTTATGCAGGTCCCACTGAAATAATCTTCATGTACCCGAGGTCTTCCTGCATCGGTGAGGCTGGAAAGTAGCCTTATGCCCTACACAGTGTCAGTGTGTCTTGAAAACCTTTGGAGAAAAAAGTACTTCTATTATGTTTAAGAAAATGTTACCTATGGGTGACTAGAAGAATTTGTGTGTCTCTGTAAATAACAGTGTCTATTCTAGGAAAATGTTTGTGCAGACTAATTCTCTGATGCATGAAAAGTATGACTCGTTAACAGAATATTTCCAGTGTAAAACTATGTTTAGACAAGGCAACTAGGTGTAAATAATTATTTTTAAGGGCAACTCCTTCTTGTCTATCAAACTATTGCCATATAATACCTGCAGTAGAGTCTTTTGATTGGTGGGGCATCCGTGGCCGAGTGGTTAAGGTCGTTGACTTCAAACCACTTGCCCCTCACCACTGTTGGTTCGATTCCTACAGGGACTTTGGATTCTTTCATGTGAGGAAGCTATCCAGCTAGCTTACGGAACGTCGGTGGTTCTACTCAGGTGCCCGTTCGTGCCTGAAATAATGCACGGAAGGGCACCTGAGGTCTTCCTCCACCAGTAAAGCTGGAACGTTGCGATATGACCTATACTGTGTCGATGTGACGTAAAACCCAAAACAAACAAACAAACTTCTGATTGGTTGATATTGATATGTTTAAGAATACTTTTTGTGCAAATATTTGTACTTTTCAAACAAAATTTTTTAAGAACTAAGGTCATTGAGAGCTTTTTGGCATGTAATTGTGGTTCAGTGTTAAATGATACCAGACATCATTTGCTGAATGAAAATATAAGACTTTGTGATGCAAAAATTTGACCTCATGTAACTTGTGTTTGAAATTTTATCCAGTAATAGGTGATATATTTTGTTTATATTTACAGAGTGTTTTCATTCCAAGATGGTGATAAAGGCAATGGTGGCTCATCATCCAATAAAGGTCTAGCTAAACATTTTGCAAAAGGTATGACTGGAAAGATAATTAAATCATCACTTTTATTTTTAGTTTCACGCTGAATATTTGTGGCAAATATTAAATGGTCACGGAAGAGACTCATTTGCCTATTGCTGCTCTATGTTGGGAGCTGTGTTTGATTTCATGATTAAGATATTTGTTGGTACACATAACAAGGTTTAAAGCATGGCAACAACTTGACAAGCTTTTCCTGTATTGTGGGGATCAGTGATTTTTCTCACTTAATTGGGAAGAGGCCTTAGCCTCTTTATTTTGGGAAAATTATCACTAAAATTGCTGATTTGGGAAGTAAAAAAGCTGGTAGAAGTTCAGATTTTGGGGAAAACTGCATGATTTTAAAGAAAATTTCAATTGGGAAGAGGCCTTTTTTCAGAGTCTGTTATATAAGTAGGAAAATCACTGCGGATGATTTTTGAATAATTTCACTTGCTTAATCACTTAGGATGAATTGCATTAAGCTTACTGTCATCAAATGGCTCCCAGTGAATAAATGTACCACACTAATGTATTGCAGGTATGGTTTGTACATAGAAAACGCTACCTATTGAGCTAGTTTGTTGTTATATCCTTGTAGGCAAAAAGTGTCTAAAACCTTCACAATTGAAACCAACACATTGTCATTATTGAGTTCATGCATTTAAGACAATAAAATAGATAGAATAGATAGAATTTAAATTACAACATATTCTTGACATCCTACTGATATGTTTACTGTTAAACAATTTACATTTAGTATGTTAACAACATATATTTACTTATTTTAAATTTAATGTAATTATTGTGTACTCACCAAATGTTTTGGTATTGTACATTTATGTGTCAAGGGCCTGTGGCCTTTATCACGAATAAATGAGTTGAGTTGACTTAATATGCTTCTTGCATTTATAAAATAAAATACATTTCTTAAAGTCTCTTTAAACCTTAAAAAATATGTAAAATGAAAAAGTCTCAGAGGTAAAGTGTGTTTACATCTTATCCTTAATTAGGTTTAAAGGAGGCTGCAGAAGCATTTAAAGTATGGAAAGAATTCAGGGAGAATAAAGAGCAGCTAGAACTTGCCAAGGAGAGCAAAAAACCTGCCCCATTTAAAATGGTTAAGGTAAGAAATGTCTATTGTAAAATATATGAAAAGCTTTTGTTTAAAATTTAATGCAAAGATCTGTAGCTCGATATTTTCAAAGAAAAGTGAGGTTATTGTGCTTGGGCATTTGCCTTTAACTTTATGTAGGTTGTGCATGTAACTTTATATCTTGTAAACCACTCAAGATATTTTCTTGAAACTTAAATGTTTCTATATAGTTATGATTGTAGGTAACTACTGAAGACCTTCCATTGATTATCTATGAATTAATTCCTCTTTATTAGTCCCCTACCGGTTTACCGGAGGGGACTTTAGGTTTACCCTCCGTCCGTCTGTCCGTCCGTCTGTCTGTCAGTCCGTCAGTCCGTCCGTCCACAAAACTGGATCCCGCGATAACTTGAAAAGTACTGAAAATATTTTTATGAAACTTGGTATATGGATAGATGGCAGTATGGAGATTATGCACGTCTTTTTCTTTTCTTCCTATGTTGAAAATTCTGGTTGCTATGGCAACAAATAGGCTAAAAATATGGCAAATTTTACACATAAACTGGATCCAGTGATAACTCAAAAAGTACTGGAAATATTTTTATGAAACTTGACATATGGGTAGATGGCAGTCTTGGAATTATGCACGTCTTTTTCTTTTTCTCCTATGTTGAAAATTCTGGTTGCTATGGCAACAAATAGGCTGAAAATATGGCAAATTTTACACATAAACTGGATCCAGTGATAAAGCAAAAAGTACTGAAAATATTTTTATGAAACTTGACATATGGGTAGAAGGCAGTCTTGGAATTATGCACGTCTTTTTCTTTTCTTCCTATGTTGAAAATTCTGGTTGCTATGACAACAAATAGGCTGAAAATATGGCAAATTTTACACATAAACTGGATCCAGTGATAAAGCAAAAAGTACTGGAAATATTTTTATGAAACTTGACATATGGGTAGATGGCAGTCTTGAGATTATGTACGTCTTTTTCTTTTCTTCCTATGTTGAAAATTCTGGTTGCTATGGCAACACATAGACTGAAAATATGGCAAATTTTACACATAAACTGAATCCAGTGATAACTCAAAAAGTACTGGAAATATTTTTATGAAACTTGACATATGGGTAGATAGCAGTGTTGAGATTATGCATGTCTTATCTGTTCTTCCTATTTTGAAAAAATATCAGTTGCCTTGGCAACAAATAGGCTTAAAACATGGCAGATATAACAATATTTGTGATTTAAGTCAAAAAGAGCTGAAAATTTTTATGAAATTGCATCTTTAATTCAAGAGTTATCTCCTCTTTAAGAATTCTGCTTTTAAAATGTTATATTTTGGTAACAGGGATGTTTCAAATATTAACTTTAGAGTGTCCTTCAGTCCGTCTGTCTGTCTGTTCATAAAAACTGTTTCCTGCGATCACTTTTAAAGAACTTTTCCAATAAGTTTACTTAAAATAGAGAAAAATTGAAACATAAGTGAATGGCCAATGGCCCTTCAGAATGTTGATGGGGTTCTAACCGGTAGGGGACTTATGGATTGCTTGCAATACTATGATAATTGCTTGTTAAAGTTAAGAATACCTGCATTGTGTTACTATTAAGCTCTGAGAATCAACAAAGCACTGTTCAACTGGCAGCTATATTTAATTTTACTGATCTAATTGATGGTTATTAGTCATTATTTAGTTTGGCAACATTTCTGTGTGGCCAATTGGTAAACGTGTCGCACTAGTAATCTAAAAGTTTGCTTGTTACGGTTCAGATCAGTTGGGCACAAGCTGTTGATTCTTTGAGCATCAAATTTTACACTCATTGCTTAGTACCAGTTCATTCCAGGAATGGATTTAAGTGTATCTTGTCAGCTTATAGCTTCCAACGCAATGAATGTAAAATGAATTCTGTATAAGCTATAACATCTTGTGCAATTATGAACTGTTGTTTATGAAATTGTTAATAACTTTTAGACAAATGTGCCATTGGGAAGTGTCGTCATCAAGAAAGCTGATCTCTCCGAGTTACCAAGGTGTGATTGTAAAGCTGACCAAGAAAATCCATGTGGGCGTGATTCCGAGTGCCTCAACGCCATGATGATGTACGAGTGTCATCCAGCACTGTGTCCTGCTGGTGATAACTGTCAGAACCAGTTCTTCACAAAGCGGTTATATCCATCACAGCAGCCGTACAAGACAGAGGGCCGAGGATGGGGATTAAAGGCCACTGTTGATATAAAAAAAGTGTGTTTATTTATTTCCATTATTATAAACAGTTTTGGTTACATCTCTGTGGTTAGTCTATCGAACTGTCCTTCTGAATAACTAAATTTCTTAGCAATTGACTGGTTATTAATCCCTAATAATTTTTGAATCAAAGTTAAGGGACAAATCACCCTTAGACATAATGTTAGATATCGTTTGTCACAGAAAAATCCAGTTCAATGTTTAGTGCATGTGTTAAACAACTGCAAGTGATATTGTTTTGCAAACTGTCACAGACATAGAATTTTTTTCATGTGTACTGTCACAGACATAGAATTTTTCATGTGCACTGTCACAGACATAGAATTTTTCATGTGCACTGTCACAGACATAGAATTTTACATATGCACTGTCAGACATAGAATGTTTTCATGTGTACTGTCACAGACATAGAATTTTTCATGTGCACAGACATAGAATTTTTCATGTGTACTGTCGCAAACATAGAATTTTTCATGTGCACTGTCACAGACATAGAATTTTTCATGTGTACTGCCACAGAAATAGTATTTTTCATGTGTACTGTTACATACATAGAATGTTTTATGTGCACTGTCACAGACATAGAATATTTCATGTGCACTATCACAGACATAGAATATTTCATGTGCACAGACATAGAATTTTTCATGTGCACTATCACAGACATAGAATATTTCATGTGCACTATCACAGACATAGAATTTTTCAAGTGTACTGTCACAGACATAAAATGTTTTATGTGCACTGTCACAGACATAGAATTTTTTGTGAAAACCAACCCCAAGTGAAGCTTGATTGTGCCTGACATAATGCTGAGATGGTGCCTGAGATTCTCAGAATGTCTTTCCCAGTTATTGCAAGAAAATTGCTTAATGACATTAAATGTTCATGTGAAAAGTAAAAACTGGTTTTCGTGATGCTGATATTAAACTGTATGTAATATCTATTACAGGGTCAGTTTGTGAACGAGTATGTTGGCGACCTGATAGATGAGGAAGAATGTAAGAGACGTTTAGAAAAGGCTCATGAGGATGATATTCACAATTTCTACATGATGACACTTGATATGGACAGGTATATTGTTAAATATATATATTATATGTGTGTGTGTAGATATGATTCAGAGTACAATTAAGGGGAATAGAATATATTGGATTTTTCATTGCTGTAATGTAAACACGCCTTAACTGAGAATAATGTGCGAGATTTTGCATATTTCTAGAAAGCATCGTGTTGAAATTGATAGATGGTCAAATTTGCATAAACATCAATTGTGTAAATGATTCAAATGCTGTTACTAGAGCAATAAATATCTACACTGGTTTCATAAAGCTATTTATATATCACTTTTCTGTATGGCAAAATAATGTCTTGGACACTTCACTGGAAATACAAGGTTGTTCTCTCCTGTCAGGATGTGTTTTTTGTGTCCTTTCCTTGTTTTTGCTTAACTTCTGTTTGTATGTTTCATGTAAGATAGTTCATATGTAATGGATGAAACATATTTAAGATATTCTTAACAGCTGTGACTTGAATTGATTTTATTATTCTCTTGTGAGTAAATTATCTTCATCAGCTTTCAACATAAATTGTTAAAACATCTGGTGTAGAAAAAATTGCACAAAGTGGTTGTGTAGAGCAAAGTTACAGGTTTCCTTTGTACTTTGTATCTTATTTTTTGACTAATTCTTAAGTAAAAAATGTGATTGTGTTGTACAAGTGGTTTTGTAATCTTGTTTGATGATAATTACTGGAGCCGTATTTTAATGATAATTGTACTGTAATATGTTAAGTGATTACATTGTAAGAGCATTTTAAAGATATTTTTATATACGTGTACATGCATATCCGCAAAAAATAGGCAATTTACTGGGATAAAAAATTCAATTTACTGGGATATAAATAACGATTTCTACAGTTTATGAAAAGAATTTTGTGACTTCTCTGTTTGGATTTTGGGAATCAATACATTTTATTTGTTAATCTGCCCAAAGAAAGTTATATTTATGGAAAGTGATAGAATTCAGCAAAAATTTCAAACTGTATATGTGAAATTTTAACTAAGGAAGAGTTTATTCTTTATTGTGTATGTTGCAATCATTTTTTTGTGGGATTCCTATTGAACATGTTTTTGTTGTTATTTGCAGGATAATTGATGCGGGTCCAAAGGGTAATCTATCAAGGTTTATGAACCACAGTTGCGATCCTAACCTTGAGACACAGAAATGGAATGTTAACGGTGATGTTAGAGTCGGTCTCTTTGCTCTAAAGGACATCAAAGCAGGTAAATAAAAGATTCTATTTTTGGCGAAAGTATCAGTGTTTTTGAAGTAAATGAAATATGGAAATTTATCATCCGCTTAAGTAAATATGGAGAGCATTGGATTTGTGATCCAGGAGTTGCTTGTTTGATTCCTTTGCGTGACATATTTCTCCAAGATGATTGATCTCGATTATTTAGTCAAATAGTCATTTGTCTCTCATCGCTGATTCAGAAATCATATGGCATAAGTAGCAGTGATTTTTTTACAAACTCATCAGTGTGGGTCCTAGGACTCGCTAGGCTATAAATCTATGAGTCCCAAAATTTAGCCGAAAAATCCAAGTTACAAGGCTTAATATTGCTTTAGTTATACAGTACAGCTCGCGCGGAATGTACATTTTTATGCTTCCTCCGCGATCGACGTTTAAGCAAACTCCTTAATCCACCGCGTTTTTCTGAGCGTAATCGCGGAGAAACAACCTGGACCACAATCGCGGAGTTTTAGAGAGTGTAAAAGTATTACCGCGGAGATTCTCCAAGAAAATCACGATTTATAAGTTAATATTATATTTTAAAATTATCTCTTTTCATTAAAGTAATTTTCATTTTTCATTAAAGAAACTACATTTGTAATTATCTTAATTGTTATTTATTTTTGTTTTGAAATTTGTAGGTCCACTTGATTAATTGATCGTAGTATTTCTTGTGAACAATCTTCTTGAACACCGTACCGCTGAATCATGTCTACATCGTATTTTGTTTTTATACTTTATTTGGCATTTTTTGTTGCTGTTTTTAGGACAAGCATACTGTAGGTGTACAGGGTTGTCATTAACATTTTTTGCAGAAAGTTTGTTTTGAACTTGAGGCGGTCATTTCTTTCTTTATCATGCATAACAAAGAGTGTTTTCTGAATTTTGAGGCGGCCCATAATGCATTGGGACAGGTATTTTGGCCTCCTGCCGCCTCTTAATGACAACCCTGGGTGTATATAAGTTTTTTTATGTTTTGAAGCGCATTGGAAATGTTTGCATATGTTGGAAATAGGCCTCGGAGCTAGATATGCATGTACTGTAGATATATCCGTTATTTCAATCACCCGTAAATGCAGAGATTTTTATTACAGATAGCTCTGTGGTAAATGTGTCAACATGAAAAACTATAACAACCCTATTTATATTTTGTAAAGAAATAAGATCAACAGTTTTGAAAATTTGACGTGTACATGTAATACTACACCTATATTGTTTTATATTTTACATGCATGTTTTTTAAAATACGTCGGTCTCCATGCTTTGCTCATGACTTCACATATTTAATTTGGTCAACAACACAAATTATAAAGTTTCTTTTTCTTTAAGATTTTAAAGTTTATAAGACATTGGTTACCTGTTTATATACATGTAGTTCTTGACCTATACGTATGAAAGGTATATTAACAATGGAATGAATAAAAAATGAATTTGATTTCTACATTAATTACAATGCTTCTGATACTGAAATTATTCAAAACTGTCAAATAGTTTAATAAGTTTATTTCCATTAGTTTGAGATTAATCAAAAGTTATTACCAAATTCCTGTAAGACAGGACTCCCAACTCAGAAAAAGTATGCATCCAAAAGATGCACATTTTTTGAAACTTTGCATCCACAGCAAATTCAATGAGTCCTGGACTCAGGATGCAGAGGTAAAAAAATCACTGAGTAGTCTGTAATTTGTTGAGGAAATGGTAATTCTTTTTCGTGAAAGAATTTCGTTTGGTTAAATGAGATGTGTTGCGCATGCGCGGAAGCAGTGTTGCAAAATGGCGGAGTGTTTCAACGTTGTTGAAAATTCGAACACTTTATTTTGATCGTAGATCAAAGTTTATCTGTGTATATTAAATTAAATTTGCGTGTATTAGCAAGATAAATATTATATTTTTATTTTTTGGTGCGTATTTATATAGCATTGTTGTTTATTCGTGAATAAACGTGTAATAAAATCGAATCGGGCACGTGGTGTCCGGACCGGAGTCAGTTAAAAAATTTTTGTAGCTAACTATCGTCGATAGTTTTGTGAACTTTAATTAAAATGTCAACAAAAACCACCGAACGTTGTTCGGTCGATGATAAAAAGGACAATGAATCCGTTGATTTAACGGTTAAAGACAGAAAAGGTAAACAACCGGTTCTTGGAAAACAAATTACAAAAAAGAGTTCAAAAGAAAAAAGCACGTGTTCTTCAAAAGAAAGTGCATTGACTGAATCGGAAAATGTTTTATTGAACGCTATATCTGCTTTACAAGGCTCAATAAATAAACAATCAGAAAGAATGGGTGCTCAAGAAAAGCAAATTAATGAGCAGAGTAAGCAATTAAAAGAATTTGCCTCCAGGATGTCGTATTTAGAGTATGATGGTGAGGAAGGTTATTATGATGAATGTGAAAATAGTAACTATGATGCTTTATGTGGACAAGAGGATCAATCATATCCTGATGTAAATGATATGTGTGAAGATGTAAATGATGAGCCTGGTAGGAATGAAGCTTGTAAAAGAAAGGCAGAAAATGATGATGATAACATTAACAATAATCGATTTAATGAAATGTCTAAACGATTCAAAGCAGCAGAAATTTGTGACCAGAACATTGATTCTGTATTAGCAAGTAATGTTAATGAACTTTTTCGAAATGGCATTGACGAAACCAAATATAATGAGATCGTTAAGGATGAAATAACGCCAAGACCAGGAAATTGTGAGAGTCTTGTAGTGGTTCAAACAAATCCATTAATATGGGACTCATTAAGTCCCGTTGCGAGATCTAATGATAAGAAAATGCAGAACATTGAGGCATCTGTAGTTAAATCGGCCACTAAACTGACAAAAGTTGTAAATAAAATGGCAAAATTAGAGACAAAGGTTGAGAGTGATGTGTTCAGTGGGTTGATCGATGAGTGTAATGATGTTTTTAGCTTTGCTTGGGCAAGCAAACAAGCAAATTAACTTCACTCGAAAAGATTTCCTAAGGCCGGAACTAAATAAAGAATATAGTCATTTATGTAATCATAATAGACCCTTTACAAAGTATTTGTTCGGGGATGATGTTTCTAGATCAGCGAAAGAAATTGAAGATTGTTCGAAAATAAGCAATCGCATGTTCCAGAACAGATATCAGAGAGGAACATTTATAGGCCGAAGGCGACCAAATAGATTTAATAGAGGTCGTAGTGGGTTTTGGTAGAGGAATGATGAGAGGTCGTGGTCAAGTTCAGTCATATGGTGAACCAGTATCTGCCTCAAAAAACTTCCTAAGGCGGGGGTCTCGCCCTTACAGACAGTAAACGAGGTAGGTACAACTTTTATTGCAGGAAGATTAACAAATTTTATTGATGAATGGCGAAAATTGACTAGTGATAGCTATATTTTAGATATTGTTGAACATTGTCACATAAATCTTGAAGAAGATGAGCTTAAAAATTTAAATAATGCATGCATTCAATACAATTTTAATAAAAAAGAAAAAATGGTTATTCAAAATGAAATTCAGAAATTGCTTAAATTACAAGTTATTGTTGAAGTAGAAGAATGTCAAAATCAAATTTTATCACCTATATTTTTAAGACCAAAAAAGAATGGTGAATACAGAATGGTATTGAACTTAAAACGTTTTGAATAATTTTATCCCATACAAACATTTCAAGATGGAAACTTTTGAAAATTCTCTAACACTAATTTCTAAAGATACATATATGGCTTCAGTTGATTTGCGCCATGCATATTATTCCATTAAGATAGCTGAAGAACAGCAAAAATATTTTAGATTTTACATGGGAAAATAAGATTTTTCAGTTCACATGTTTGGCAAATGGAGTGAGTGAAGGTCCAAGATTATTTACTAAGTTGCTAAAGCCTGTTTATGCAAAGTTACGAAGTATGGGATATGTTAATTGTGGGTTTATAGATGATAGTCTTCTTTGTGGTGATTCAAAACATGAATGTACACAAAATGTTCTAGCCACAACTAATCTTATGAAAAACATAGGCTTCATGATCAATGAAGAAAAATCAGTATTTATTCCAACAAAGAAAAAATTCAGTATTTAGGGAACATAATTGATTCGGAAAAAATGATTGTACATTTACCATTGGAAAGACAAGAGTCTATTATTTCAAGCTGCAAAAAGTCTTTTAAAAAAGCAAACAGCAACTGTTAGAGAAGTGGCAAAAATTATAGGTTTAATTGTGGCTAGTTTTTCAGCTGTTTGAATATGGAAAATTACATTATAGACAATTAGAAATGAACAAAATTTATGCTCTTTCAAAAAAAGTAATGGGATAATTATGACAGTTTTATGGTAATAACAAATGACATGAAAAAAGAAATGCAATGGTGGATAAAAAAAATCTTACATTTCAAGTGAGACATATTTTTAAAAAACCTATTGAGGCTGAAATGTACACGGATGCCTCGAGACTTGGATGGGTGAGCAAAATTAGAAGAATGTAAAATAGGGGGTCGTTGGAATAATACAGAAACAAATTATCATATAAATGCATTGGAATTATTAGCTATATACCATGCTCTAAAGGCTTTTAGAGAAAAATTGCATGATAAACATGTTAAAATATTTTCTGATAATACTACTGCAGTAAATTATATAAATAACATGGGTGGTATTAAATCCCAAATTTGTAATAGTATAAGTGTTGATATATGGACTTGGTGTATACATCATAATATATGGTTAACATGTACATACATAGCAGGTTCTGATAATGTGGAAGCTGATTCAGCTTCAAGATGCTTTAAGGATCATCTTGAATGGAAATTAGATAAAAACATATTTCAAAATATTTGTATTAAATGGGGAACCCTGATATTGATATGTTTGCTTCACGTTTGAATGCACAATTACCAGTTTATTGTTCTTGCGGAAACCTGATCCAGATAGCACTTTTATAAATGCATTTACTTTAAATTGGAACACATTTAATAATATATATTTTTTCCCACCTTTTAGTTTGATGGGACGGTGCTTGCAGAAAATAAGGCAGGAAAAGGCCAAAGGCATTGTTATTGCTCCACTATGGCCCACACAGCCATGGTTCACACGTCTATTGGAATTAATTGTCGATTACCCAGTGTGATAATTTGCCAAAAGGAAAGCCACTGCTGACTCTCTTCCTCATACAAACAAAGAACATCCACTTACGAAAAAAACTTCAACTGATTGCATGCAAAGTGTCAGGCAACAGTTTCGAGAACGAGGACTTTCAGAAATGTCTACCGATATTCTCATGTCCTCTTGGAAATGTGGCACCAAGAAGCAGTACAGTATTCATCAAAAGATGCGTTTTGTTTTCTGCAGTGAAAGAAAATCAATCAAATTTCTCCAACTGTGGAAGAAGTAATTGAGTTTTTAACACAACAATTTGAAAATGGATTAAGTTATGACAGTCTAAATACAGCCCGTAGTGCTTTATCATCGTTGGTTAAATTTCAACAATTTTAAAATTGGTGCTCATCCACTAGTGATTCGTTTATATGAAAGGAATTTTTTGCATTTAGACCACCAAAACCTCGTTATGTCAGCACATGGGATGTAAATGCGGTTTTATTGTATCTTCGTAAATTATCACCGGTTAAACAACTTACACTGAAAGATTTAACATTGAAACTTACAATGCTTATGGCCTTAACTCAGGCAGCACGCGTCCAGACTTTGCATTTGATTAGTTGGTGTTCAGTTTAAAAAGTTAAAATCTGAGTTTGTTTTTAAGTTAGCGGATTCTTTGAAACAGAATCGACCTAATTTTAACTGTTCATTTGTTAGTTCAAAGCTTACCCTCCAGATAGGAGGTTTTGTATATATACGGTGTTAAAAGAATACTTTGTTGCGCACAAGACCTGTGCGGTTAAATGTAGATGAAAAGGATCAAAGATTGTTGATAAGTTATGTAAAACCTTATAAAACATGTAAGTAGAGACACGATATCTAGGTGGTTGAAAACAATCATGTTACGTTCTGGAATCGATATAAAGAAATATGGTTCTCATAGTATTAGATCAGCTGCTAGTTCTAAAGCAAAGATTAATTCAGTACCAATTAGTGACATACTAGCCAAAGCAGGGTGGTCGAATGTCAAGACATTTGCCAAGTTTTATGACCGTCCTGTTGAAGGCAATTCTGACAGATTTCAAGAGGGTGTACTCGCCTGATTTGTGAGAAAAATTTTTTCACATTATTGCTTTGGAAATGGTAATTATAAGTTATCCAGAAAAGCTGGTCGGATCAACTAACAACCCAGATATGACAGCTTGAACCACAACACTATGCCCAGTTAATAGTGTAGATTTTCCACTTGTTGCTCCATACTGGTTGGTTCCGGGAAACAATTCGAGAGTGTGTCTATAAGCTTCCTACAAAAACTAAAAAAATTCTACATAAACCAAAACATTTCTTGTATGATATTCATATGGTAAAATGTCTGATATTGATTAATTACTTTACAGGTGATGAGTTGACTTTCAATTACAACTTTGATTGCCTTGGTAACGAACAGACCAAGTGTGGGTGTGGCTCAGAAAACTGCAGTGGCTATCTAGGTGTCAGACCTAAAGTAAGTCGAAACACATTCTATTTGTAAATCTTAACCCTTGAAAAAGTGTGCATCTCCATTGACTGGATACTGGCAAGAATATTTTATTTACTAAATAGCAATTGTGGCTTTTTAGACTGAAGAAGTAACCAGACACTGGCAAGAATATTTCATTTACTAAATAGCGGTTTTGGAAGAATCTTTGGTCTTTTTAGACTGAAGAAGCAAGACATAGTTTGGTTAATTCATTATGATATGTAAATCTTTTCATACCTTACCTTACTGAATAAACTGAATGGACTTTTGTTTTTTTACAGTCCATAGTGGGTTAGCCAGCAGTATGAACTCCTGGTTAAACTACATTGATGGGCAGGTTGCCTTGTCTCTATACTGGTGGTGAATGCCTTTGATGGTTCATTTTCAGCACTATAGTCATTCAGAGATATTGAAAAAATATTTATTAAGGTTTTAGAGATAGACAGTTATTTAAAGGATAGGCAGTAAGTTTGATAAGTTATGAATTAGGTAACAATCCTTTATTTTCTACAGTCTCAACATGCTGCCATGGCTGAATTGAAGAGAAAGGAGACGAAAAAGGGAGATAAGCAGAAGAAAAAGAAGAAACCGGTGGTTAAAAGGAAGCATGATGACGATTGTTTCCGATGTGGCGAGGGCGGGGAATTGGTACTGTGTGACAGAAGTAGCTGCCCTAAGAGCTATCATCTAAGATGTCTTAACCTCTGCAAACCTCCACATGGTTAGTGAATGTTTTCTTGTAAATCTGTATATTCAGAAAGATTCCCTGTAGTTCTGGTGTTACATCTAGTCCATTTATGGGGCGCAGTGAAATTTCTCAATGACAATTGAACACAGACATTGAGTCTACCTATTTAAAAATTCATGGTGGATTGGTAGATGGTCACTTACTGAGAAATTGGTAGTTACTATTTAGTTATCGATAAAAGTCGTGGTTGACCGCCAATGATTTTTATTTAAGAAAAAAAATAATGTAATTGTATTCTATTTTTTGGAATATAAAGGAAATGATTTATTCACTTGCTTGTGTAAGATTATATTTATACTGTCTGGATGTCTTGGAATTCCCTTGAAAATTACAATATTTCAAAACTGAAAGCAGAATTTGAAATTCTCATTAATGTATAAGAAGCCCGAAGACTTGATGTTGGGATTATGTTTTTCAGGAAAATGGGACTGTCCATGGCACCATTGCGATGAATGCGGTAAACCGGCTACCAAGAAATGCGTCGAGTGCCCTAACTCGTTCTGTAGCACTCATGCTGATGATACGAAGGTGCGATTTTTTGACAATAAAGTCTACTGTATAGAGCATGAAGATCTCCTCGACACTCTCGAGGAATCTCAGTCACAAACTTCTGCCGCGCATCAGATGACAATGGCGAGCCTGCGGGTGATGCGGTATGCAACAGAAAAAGGTAACAAATGGAAAAAGATAACGATGCGACAGTAAAAGGGAAGAGTAAAGACGAGACATTGCCACCGAAGAAACGTGGACCAAAACCTCAGTCAGAAACCACAGACAAACCAACCAATGGAACAGCAGCAAAAGTTTCGCGTTGGAAGGAAAAGTTCGGTGAAAGGGGAACCAGGAAACAAAGGGATCCGTCTCGGACGATCCATTAGCTGTTGCGCCAATGTTTGATTGATGATGAGGAGGAAGAATTCGGACTTGTTATTGATATTTCCGAACTTTTGCATGCACAATGATCAAGTTTCCATTATTTTAAGTTGTCATGTCTCGTTTGATTATTTACATTAAAATTCATTTATTCATTGGGGGGTATTTTTAATGTTGCTTTTTTTTCTCATATTTTATTTGTTTAGATGTTGGTATATTGAATGTTTGCTACACAATTATTCATTAAACTTGTATAGAAATTTATTTTCTGGTTGAAAGAATGAATTTGTTGACATAAATTGTTAGATAATGACAGAAGAGTGTTTTAGCTGGAGTGGTAGAATTGGGCTGAGTTTGTCAAGTATTTAGAGGATGAAGGTCATGGGATAATAGCCTAAGTTCATTGGTGGTTTAAAAAATGTTCATTTGACGAGAGAGAACGGCCATAGTTCAGTTTGGGTCAGAGATGTTCTTTTTTGTAGCAGGGTGGTTTAAATTTTTGGGCTTGAGATGGGCCCAATTTTTTTTGGTGAATGACGGTTATAAGAAAAAAGAAAAAATTAATTTAAATGTGAGAAAATGAGGTAAAGAGAATTTAAAATGGCGGGCTGGGGGAGAGGGTTTGGCCCCCCAAATTTATTTGGGGTATGACGGTGGGAAATGTTCATATGTTGACCCGAGTTCTCTTAGGTTTAAGAGAATTGGGAAGAGTTCCTTTGCATTTTTTTGAAGTTCTTAAATTGTGTTAATTGACAAACATGGGTTATGCATTTTTAGCTCGTCTCTTTGGAAGAAAAAGTCGGGCTATTATGATCGCAACGTCGTTGTGGTTACGCAAAAAACTTTAAGGTCGCTCATTTTTTTACTATTTTAGAATTTATCAACGTGAAAATTGGCAAACTTGCTTATCATGTGCAGTTGATAGAAAAGTGGCATAATACTACACATGTACTGTATTTTTGGAGTTATGCCCCATTTTAACATGGCAATTTTTGTCAAAATTGGTAATTGATAGTCTGCCTTTAATAGATGAGCGTCAACACTGCATGTGGTGTTCTTGGGGTGTTTTTTTTTATCTTACAGAATTAGAGTTCCTATTAGTCAGTTTAGTAAGTTTTTTTATGTTTGCATAAAATTTTTAATCCTCGAATGATGTAACACCGAGCATTTATTTTTATGCATGTTCATTTTACAAGTTTATTTTTCAATGAAGTAGGGATGGTTAAATTCATAATGTTTTTGTTGGTTTAATTACCCCCCTAAAAATGTTTCCAAATGATTTTTTTCCCTAGTTGTGCACATCACCGGCACACTGGGGCAGGGGATCTTATCTTGAAAATCATGTATGAAATAGTTTTATAATATATACTGAGAGATTTTTACAGTTCAAAACTTACACCAATTTTTTAGCTCACCTGTCACAAAGTGACAGGGTGAGTTTTTGTGATCGCTTTTCGTCCGGCGTCCGTCGTCCGTCCGTCCGTCGTCCGTAAACTTTTACTTTAAATGACATCTCCTCATAAACCACTAGTGCCAATTTCATCAAAACTTCACAGGAATGTTCCTTGGTGGTCACCTTTAAAAAAATT